CTCACATGTACATAAAGAGACCACTGGCTTTTCCATAATAAACATTTGCTATTATCTGCATGGGTTCCGCCTCCATTTGAAAATGCTTCATAGCACATCGACTCTCCGAACTGCCCTCAGCCTACATAAAAGATTTTGTGAAATTTGGAACAAAGAAAAAAAAATCTCCCATATGACATTGATATCACTTCTGCATTAGTGGGCAAAGATCATCCAATGCTTTAACACACATACTAAATAATTTCACTGCACAACCACACAGTATATTACTGATCGTTTAAGACCGGTACAAAACATCTTTATTCAAACAGTTGCAATTTCAACATCAATTAAGATACAAATTCTGTAGTACAAAAGTGGTTTTCTTCTTAACTTAAACTTTGACTTTCTATTAAATGTACATCAAGACCCAGGTTATAATGGAAAAAAAAAAATGCTAAATGTACTCAAACTCCTGGTCATATTCGAAATGTAACTCAAAATATTTGGTCATCACAATAAAGCAGCCTGCGTGAAAGGCCTGTAAATGTAATACTGAAAACACCGTTTGCTTAACCTAAAATGTGCATTACACATTTAAGTTTGGCAGCCTGGAGGTGATAGTAACCTATAATATGAAAACAGTCGTTACAGGCAGGATACGCACATCTTGGGAATGAGAGTAAGGTGCTCAGCAAACAGGCTTTTTATCCACGCTGGTGAAGGCAATTCTGTAGAGTATGCGTATACGTGAACGGAAGACATGTCGGTCTCCTGCGGGTCGGCAGACTCCACACACCGCTCTATCCTCAGAGGTCAAGGGGTCCTGCCTCCCCCTCTAACAGTCTAAGCACAAAGAGCCTGAGAACCAGACAGAAGGTGGAATCAAAGCTAAATCTATGCAGCTCTGCTGCAATCTTCCCTGCCTTGTGGTGTGTGGATAAAGCTCAACAGTCATGAACCTGCCCTAGGCTCAGAGCACTTCATTAAAATAATCACCATTAGCACCAAATACGTTGTCACACCCTGGAAGACGAGGGGAAGAAAATACTTCTGTCTTATGGTAAAAATAATGTGATGCTACTGAAAGTATTTGTCAGAGTAGAACACAGCTGAAGATCAGCTTTCAGGCTTGGAGTAACACCGGCTGAGACGGAGTACAGGGTGGTAGGTAGGGCCACGGAAGGCTGTACTTATTCGACCTCTGGCTGACCTATAATAATGTAACAGCAACTTAAATGCCCCAATTCTGTAGCATTAACATGTAGTTAAAAACCCCGCCCAGGTCTGGGTAACGCGGGCGTTTCCGAATCACGTTATTGCTGCTCTTGTATCGCCGCTGGGTGTTTGCAGCCGGCTCATCTTACCGCACCTTCCCGGGCGAAAGCTGACGCTGCCCTCAAGCCGTCACGCTACCGACCGCATCCTGTAGCCCGAGAGTCTCCCCTGCTGCGTGTCGCCAGTGTGCGGGTTGTGTGAGCTCTGCCCGTGGCCGAGAGGACGACAGAACATCGTCAGCCCTCTCTCGCTCACCTAAAACGCTCTTAACTAATACCGAAAGTTTAGCCCAGTTCGGTATCCTATCGGCAAACTGCTGAGAATCACAAAGTCGGAGGCTGAACTGCATATGAGGCCAGAAATACGAAGCAAAACCACCATGACTTACACATCCCAGTTGACTTTCACGCTTCTCACGAGTAGCACTGCACCTCTTCACTGGAAATGTTCCTTTCCAATCGGTCTGGAGATAAATACTCTACATTTCATGACCAGTTGCTGGCGGATTCCGCCACCCAAACAACGTTCTCCGGAGGTTCCGGCTGGGGTGTTAAATCTTCAGATACACTGTTGGTCTCTCCCCAATAACTCTGAATAATTCTATTTCATATGCAAAGCAAACTTCTCCACACTCCCACCTTCCGGGTACAGATGCCAGCCAATCCGAGGCCAAGACACGGATACGTAAAGGTTAGAGAGGAATACACCCCTAAACTAAACCGGCACCTGGCAAATGAACACTGACACAGCAGGGCCTCTTGGGTGGCCTCCCCTCTTACCCAGGCGTCTCTCTCTCACACCCCGCCCGTCCCATCCCGTCAGTCGGCCACCTCGCTGTAATAGTACTTCTGCGCCGTGTCCGTCAGCCTCCAGCCACCGGCCCGGAACTCCAGGATCTCCAGCAGCAGCAGTCTGGCCATGGAGCTCAGGCCTTCCTGCAGCAGGAAGCCGTCCCGCAGCAGGCAGAAGAGCTCGTCCATGCGCTGCTCGTTCATGCGCTCCAGCTGATCGCCGATGCGGTGCAGCTGCAGCACCAGGCAGTCCACCTGACAGACGGGCCGCAGGAACACCAGGGACCGTTAGAAACCCGCTCTGCCAGGCAGCCACTCTCTTTGGCAGATACGCTAATCCAGATATTGGTCAGGGTTTTTTTTTTTTTTTTTTAAAAAGAGGATTTACAAACTCAAAGGACTCTAAAGCTGAAATTTGGACGGTGTAAATTAGGATTTTGCCATCTTGCTCATTTGACTTCCTCTGCCGGCCCCTTTTGGGTCCGGTTCCTCCCAAGGTTTCTCTCTTCTAGGGAGCTTTCCTTGCCACTAATGCCTCTGGCTTGCTCACTGGGGGCTTTCAGCGGGGATAATGTAATATTGTGAAAATGCACATCACAAAATAAAATTGAATGATTGACTTCCACGCTATCGTGCCCAAATGTTTCAGTGAAATAAAAAAATCTCTCACGAGTAACACAGGGAGAATGCTGAAGTGCACATCTCTCGTTCTTGCTGATGATTTTAAATATTTCGGCAGAACAAGTCAAAATACACAATGGGGAGAAAAAAAAAATCTTATTGCAAGTGGTGATATTGAGAAAATGCCTGCGACCATAGTGTATTAACCAGGCATTAATGCAAAGAACTCTACTTAGCTCAACTCAGGGACCTGTATCACAAAGCCAGATTTGGTTAGCTAGAAAAACTTATTTTTTAAGGTGGTATGGGCTAATTGTTATCGAAAGAAGATTAAGTCCATTTAAACTGGGGGACCTTAAATCTGACAAGTTATCCGGCTAAAGAAGAAATCTGGCTTTGTGATACAGGCCCCAGATGTGTCTAAGATTCCCAGCGTGGTTCTCACCTCCTCCTCGTTCTGCAGAGCGTCTGACTGGGTGAGTCTGAAGAGGCAGTCATAAACGGGATGCACCAGTGCCATCATGGGCATGTTGTTTACCTGGTAACAGGAGACAGTTGATCAGTCCAATCTACTTTCCAAACAAAAATCCATCAATGTTAAAAATAAGTGGAAAGTTCAGGTTACAGAGAGAAAAAAAAACCAAGGGACTATGTCATGAAGCTGAATTTTTGGGTTAGCTAGATAACTTGTCAGATTTGAGGTAGTCTGGGCTAAATGTGAGAACAAAGAAAAAATCTTAAATCCTTAAATACGACACGTTATCTAGCTAACAAACCAACAAATCTCGCTTTGTGATACAGGTCTCAGAGCACTGAATCCAGTTACATCCTTATTGACCTGAGACTTCTTAAAGGGCCGGTCGGTACCTTGAGGTAGTCGAAGATGTTGCAGATGAAGGTGACATAGCACACCCACTCCTGAATCGAGCGGCTGCGAGTCTCTTCCCGGACACTGAACTCCTGCTGCAGTCTGTTCAGGAGGTTACGGCGAAACACGTTTCCGTTGTTCAGTTTGGCCTCTGCCTGCAGGGGGCAGTTTCACAGAAATGCATCAATCACATGGCACACTAAAATGTTGGTCATTATCTTAAGCTTCAAAATTGAGGATTTCAAAAAAGTCAGTAGATTGCTCACCTGGACAATGGTGTAGCAAATGCGCCCCGCCTCTTTACTGAACACTGGGTCTTTTAGGGACTGATCTATGATGACGCTGGACACCTTCTCCAGATCCACTGTGCTTGGCTCTGATGTGGAAGAATAAGTTTGAATTAAAGCTTCAAGGACTGTTTTTGCTGTGATTATATATGATTATGTAGGTGATTATATATGCTCTGGCAAACTCCTTGTTTAATTAAATGTTACACAACTTACCTTTCAGTGCCGTTTTAAGCAAACTTTGAGTTTCAGTGTCAAAGGACTGGATCTTGTACTCATCTTTAAGAGAGTTATCCATTGTCTCACAAAACACTCTAAGATAAAAAGAAGCACAGCTAATTAACCCACAGTTACCTCATATTTAAAATATTATTTTTCTTCACTTGCCTGAAAGACAACTAAATGTATCATGTATTTACTGAAGCCCAGGAAATCCAGTGAAATAAGTAGATGTCACCGAAAAAGGATTTCAGAGGAAACACGTGTACGGTCTGCAGCGATTGTGACACCGAGAAACGCGCAGTCGTTATAATGCTGCTTCTATTTCATGCACAAAGGCAAATCGCATGTACACTGCAGCATATAACGTACAGATAAATTTTATGTGCAGCCAAACGTGCGTCTGTGAATACGTTACGGAATTTACATGGTTACATTCCCATGTCTACATTTACCCTGCAAAATCTGACATAACCTATTGTGTACGTATTTTATTTAGCACAGATTTGATCAAAAGGAAAAATGTAATGCCAACACCAAGTCTACCGTAATTCTACACGTCGATTCCCGTTCGTTGTTAGCCTTGTAGCGACAAGAAGATTATTGGTAAACCGATAAAACTGCGATTCTCTGACGGAGTAAGAAAACAGATACAGGAAACAATATAAAACACGCAAATCCTCTTATTTAAAATATGCACAAATTAAATGCATGTTTAAAAGCTCAATATACAGAAAAATATCTAAACTGATAACTTTAAAAAGTGCAAACGCTTACTTCTGCTCAACTTCTGCCGACGCGATGTTTACATTCCGCCTTTCCTCATTGCCTTCATTTCCGCTACGTCACGTCCGGTCCGATGATGTCTTTATCGTGATTATTTCATGAGTAAAGTTTCCTACATTTGACTTTTCAATTAAAAAAAAATGAAACGGACGCGTCCCCTCTTGGGCATTCTTCAATAAAATACATTTTTAATGAACATATCACACAAAACACGACATTTCAGTGCCAACACTCCCATCTTCTCCTTGTTGGATTATACACCAGAAAAAAATCAAGGTACTCCAGATATTCTTAAATAAAACAATGCACCATTCACAGCAACACACGCGTAACATAGTGGCGTTAAGGCCGTATAGTGCTGCACACTACTTAAGGCCTTTAAGTTTTAAATTTAAGACCAAGTCGAGTTCACTCCGTAAAAGGTAACAAAGAAATAAAAGTGTAAACTCGATAAATTGTCAGGTCGTCACTTTATAAAACATAGAGTTTGCCATTTGGGGCATTACTGGTTGTTAAAAGGTTACAATATCCTTCTGTTATATTCTTTGGTGAAGTACGGTACTGTGCAGAAGTCTTAGGAAGTCAAATTAGGCTATGTATAAATTATCTTCATGTTCGTGTAAAAATTTGTCTGCCAAAGTGCATCAGCTTAGCCATTTCTCTCCTAGTCACCCCAGTGTTTGTGGCCAAATACACCAAAGTATTTTTTGACTGAACCACAAGCACACTTCGCTGACTTTTAAACAGCAATTTAGATACTTAATTTACAGAGCAGGTTGTGAATCTTAAATGCATGGAGTGGCTGAGGTGCCCCTGAGGAGAGGTTTGGGAACTGAAGCCGTGTCCATCTATAGATGTCAGTAACCTCTTGGAAAAAAGAAGTTGCTCTTGTTACTTTTTGTTGTGTTACTTTTAATTTTCAGGTTATAATTAGGTTAGAATGTTAAATTGTGTGTTTTTTTAGTATCCAGAAAAATAGCTTCCTTTTACTGCCTAAGACTTTTGCACAGTACTGTATAAGACAATTATCAGCATCCTTACAAAACCAGATTACACTGGACCTTTAAACTAAATATTTTAAATCATAAGTCATAATAATCTTAGATACCAAATGACCAGCAAATTATGTTTTACCAACATTAAATTAGTTTTCATTATATCCAACCTCTGCACTGTCAAATCCACCTACTGCTGCATTAAGTTGTAAATAAAAATAGTGATTATTATAATTTTGTAAAATAAAACCTGAAGCTAAATCCCTGACAGGAGTAAATTTAAAATTAGATACATTCGGTCAGACGATGTCGCCTTTATCGTGATTATTTCATGGAGTAAATGTCCTACATTTGACTTGTAAATCAAAAAAAAAAATCCAAACTTTCCAGATTTCTATATGCAGTTACATTTAATCCCCAACCACACTGTAAATACATTTAACATAGAGAGTAATAAATGTGGCTGATATGCTGTAGATTTCTCAGGATAAGCTATTTTCATAGCAGCTCTATTATTATATATCAAGTGAAACCTGTTTAAACCTTTTTTTAAATCAAGGCTTTAATGTGGAGGGTTTCTCTGTTAATTGCCGTGCAATGTATCTTTAGCACTAACCAGTAATGGTTTCTGAGTAATAGCCAAGTACGACATCAGTTATTCCCACAAGCCATATTTAACTGGCAAGTGTCTCGTCTAAAAACCCCACCATCGATAAAACATTCTAAGGAGAAAATTAAAAAATAAATCAGATTATATAATACATGCTTTCCTACTTCCAAATCATAGTTTGCAGATATATAAATGCTGTGAAAAGAGATTTGGAAAAGTATGTCATCTCTAAAGTTGCCACAGAGCATAAAAAGCAAGGCATACCCTATGCAACATTTAAATATTCGCTCAGTGAGATTTCACTTAGCTGCCTCGCGTGTTCATGGTAAGACGCTACATACTTCCTGGATATTCTGCCGTAGCGTCAGAGATCGAGTCTCCACATGGAGGAATTTTGGTTAAAACATGAGGAGCCCTGCACTGAAAAACAGCCCCACCTGCTGGCCGAAAGGTACAAGATAGAAGAGACGTAAACTACGTACAAAGCGTTGTGCGTCTTTCCAGGACTAGCCTGCACTAGACTGCTGATGCAGGCGTAACATAATTCCATCCTGTTGCATGTAAACTGGCTGTCAAGCTGCCATAGTTTGACCCATAGAACTGGATGGACAGGAGTGAGAATTGCTCTCATGGGTTTGTCCATCTTGAGTGCCTGATTCAGGCCCCTCCTCCTTTCCAAAGGTTAGTGTTCTGCCCCTTTCCTATTCCCACTACCACCCCCCCCCATATCCCAGAATCCAACACTTCATTGCTTCCCATTCTGGTTGCTCAAGAGGCCACAGAAAAGCTCATACCAGAAGAATGTGAATCCAGTAGATAGTGCAGCTTTTACTAAGCTGGGGGAGAGCCCCTTAAAAAACCCCTGAGGACCCTCCTCGCGGGCGATCCGCACCATGCAGTCCACCAATCCCTGGTAAGAGCGAACCTGCGGGTGTTACACACAGACACGCATCACTGGCAGCAAGCCGCTGGACTGCAGAGTGTATAAACTGCGAGAAAAACCTGAGACTTTTACATGTCTGCCTGCTTGTCTCTTACTGAACTTCTCAACTGCATGCAGGTTAATTTCACCACACTGGTCACCAATGTACATGACCAGTCAAATGTTTTTCACTCAAAAACTCAAAGTTTTTACCACTTTTCCATTTCTATCATAAACCGCCAATTTTTTAGTCTTATTAAGCATTGAAAAGTTGAGTAGACTACTATAAATGAAAATATAGGTCAAATAAAACAAATTCCATGTTATAAAGGACAAGAGTATGTAACAGTGCATGTCTGACATCCCATTGACTGGTCATGTGGTGATAGAGTCAAATTCTCGGCTGTCCTTTAACTTTAAATGAACTAGTTAACCATTTCATCCCATGAAACAGTGCAGTATGTAATGTTACGTATAGAAAGAACGCCTCAAATTTTCTCTGCTGTTGTACCTGCTAGATGAGGTTACTGTGATGAATCAAAGATATGACATTGACTTGCTAATCAATGGCAACATGCAAATGTAGAAAATCTCAGTGTGTGCAAAAATGTCCGACTGGTGGTGTAGAGCTTAAGAGTCCCACCTGTCCAAACGGGGCCCTGGCCTCTTCAAAGCCCCCGACTTGCAGCCTCTTCTTGATGAGGTCAAAGGGATATGTGATGGTCTTACTGATGATACCAGCACAGCTTCCACACAGCAATTTCCGGAAGCTACCTACAAAAAATAAAAAAAAGACAAGTCAGCCTGTCAGAGAGCGAAGGGAAGAAGCACCACGACACAAAGGAACGGGCCAGAACATGGAGATCAGGTCAAACCCAAAGGCTGAACCGCGGCCCTAAGGCAGGGCGCCTTCCTAAGAACCCGGCCTCCTGCGTTTCGCTACGTCTCACATATCCTGCGGTCTCCACCTGTAGGGTTGGCTTCTTTGGACTGAACCAACAGGATGTCCTTCAGGATGTTGTAGAAGAAGAACTGAAGGCCGGCGTAGGGGAAGATGGCCACCACAGTTGGTGCCAGGCCGCGGTAGAAAGTCAGGACGCCCCCCTTGCGGTACATGGTGGACGTCGCATGCCGGAGACTGCGATACACCTGCGTGGGACACACAGGCCAAGCTCAGCTCAGCTCGGTTCCACGTCAGTAACACTACCTGATGGGGCATAAATGCTTAGTAATAACTCAGTTACTACTGAAGTACAAATCATGAACAAATATAGTCACTAATAAGATGCGTCATGATTCATTAATGATGAACAAACATGAGATCAGTATTTCACCTCTTATTCATTACTTATTCATTCAATAATTCACAAAGGTTTACAGAATTAAAATACAGTAAATATAGTAACGGCTTGAGATAAAATATGCATAAGAATTAATGTATGATGAATTAACATGAGATTAGTATGGAAATGAGTTAATTAATTAATACATAAGTAATAGCATAATACTATATTATACTATATTAGTGTCACATGTCAGTGGGCCCTTGAGCAAGGCCCTTAACCCCCAGCTCCAGGGGCCCTGCTCGTCGGCTGACCCTGCACCAAGAGAAGAGAAGCCCTCCAACACACATGTACCTGTGCAAATAGCAAATAAAGCATGTTTGTTTTGTTGTTATTTGTGCCGCCTAAAGTAAAGTGTCACCAGCATGTCCTCCAGTTCAACTCCAGACTCACAAGTACAGCCAAAGAAGTCCACACTATTCTGGGTATTTCATAAATAATTACATTTACAATTACATATGGCACCATTTATAATTACATGTATAATTACATCTATAAATTACATATGGCACCTTACCAAGGCAGCATCTATTCACCATGGGCTGATGTATCAAAAGATATCTAAACAAACTCAAATATTACAGCACCAACTTTCGTCCCACTTAATGTAAAGATGTGTGTGTGTGGCAGGTAACAGAGGAACATTTACACAAACACCAGTGGCTTCACCATCACCCTAAATGCACTCAGGTCCACATGCCGCTGTGGTACACAGCAGTGCTTTATTCCCCCCCATTTGTCTGTTCTCCTCTGAAGGGGGCGGGGCCTTCTCACCCGCGGCTCCCCCTGAGCGGCGAAGCGCGTCCGCAGAGTGTCCAGCGGCTGGCAGGCCACGGTGGCGCAGCAGGCTGACAGACCCCCGCACACGAAGTGCACTGCTGGCATCTGGCTGTGGTAGGTGGTGCCGTTATGCACCAGCTCTGTCAGGAGCTCGAAGCTGGTAAACTGGAGGGGGGAGGGGGGCGATTCTGAAGTTCATTGTTCCATTTCGGCCACAGATTGAGGAACATAAATATACAGGACCAGCCAAAAGTTTGGACACACCTACCCATAGAAAGGTTTTTTTTGTACTTTTGTACTACATTTTAGAATAATTATAAGACATCAAAACTATACTCTAACAGACGGAATTATACATTAACCAAAAAAGTATTAAACAAAAAAATAATAATTTGTTTGGGGGGGGGGAGTGGGGCAGCTCTGTGGGTCGGCAGTGTGGTCCCACCACTGGGCCCTTGAGTGAGGCCCTTAACTCCAGTTGCTCCAGGGACTGGCTGCCCCTACTGTCCCCTTTACACCAGCTTCATGAGGTGGCCTCCTGGGATGCTTTTCCAGCTGTCTGAAGGACGTCCCACATATATGCTCAGCACCCATTGGCCTCTGTTCCTTCACACTCTGGTCAATCTCCTAAACCATTTCTACTGTGTTTAGGTCAGGTGGCCAGGTCATGTGATGCGGCATGGTCAGGTGGCCAGGTCATGTGATGCGGCATGGTCAGGTGGCCAGGTCATGTGATGCGGCATGGTCAGGTGGCCAGACTTTTGAGTGGTACTGTACTTAATAAACGGTATAACATAAACAATAACAGTCCCCTTCCTGCTTTCTTTGTAACATTCATTATTTCCATCAGACTTCCTGCTATTCAGTCCTTTCCCAGTTCATCACCTAGGCCAGGGGTGGCCAATCTTATCCGCAAAGGGCTGGTGTGTATGCAGGTTTTTGGGATAACCTCTAGGTCAGCTATTCAAACCCAGGTGTGAGGACTCTTCAGCCAATCAGTCCTCTAATTAGTAATCTAATTAGGGAGTTGCAGCGAAAACCTGCACACACACTGGCCCTTTGTGGATAAGATTGGCCACCCCTGACCTAGGCCCTTGAAAAGCCTTTGGCATGTGGAGGAACTCAAACTGGTCACAGGCAGTAAAATGTTTCGCACTGTTAGGACATCACCTGGACCCCTTAGCCCAGCCATGGTGGTTTGCACGCTAAACGGCGATCGAACGTGCCTGGACAGCCCCGTAGCAGATCGACAGCAGCTGGGCAGGGACATGACCCTTCCAGAAGGCGGTGGTGCCCTCTTCTGACAGGATGCGGCATGACGCCTGCCACAGGCCCCAGTACTTCCCCTGCTTACTCTGGGACGAGAGCTTCTCGATCTGAAGCTGGGGAAACGGGCAGAGGAATGTGCATCACCACAACTGCACCCGACAGAGCCGCCCCCCCCCACCCCAGAAGCTTCCTGCACAGGGTTCTCTGTTATGCCCGTGACAGTAAGATGACAGACAGCTAGGTTTGCAGAATTCTGGGAAACTTTTCATGGAATCAGGAATATACTGGAAATTTGCACAATTGCAGGTTAACCTATAACAGGGAACTTAAATGTAGTTGAAAAGAAAAAAAAAAACATCTTGATGGCACTAATAGTGATATCATTGTGTATCCAAGTGCTTGTGAATAATTATGTGCATAAAAACACCCAAAAATAAGCATCTGCATTAAAATGCATTGCTTATATATTATATTCTATGTCGTATTATTCATACAATTTGCTTTCTTTGCCATATCTGACAGCTCATGTGGAGTTTCATGGAGTTCAGTATTTCCAATATTCCCCAGCTTAACTTCCCATGGAAAGTTTCTGGAAAGTTTCCTTCCCTTTGCAACACTACAGACAGCCAAAGACAGAACTACAGGAATAGCTACAGAGATCATGACAGGGTGGCATCTGTGCGTGTTTCTCATTATACAGTGTGTGTTCCCAGGCCTATCTGTGTGTGCAGGTGACTGTTCATCAAAAGGACACGTCATGGCTCACCCCACTGCACCCAACACACCTGAAACCTGATTTTGATGACATCCAGGGGGCTGATCATGGCTCGGGTCACCATGCCGGACAGCGACCCCGCTAAGGCCGCCTTCTCTGGTGGCAAGACCTTGCGCTGGTTATCCGGGTCATAGCCCACCATCGCTGTGTCGCCGCCCTAGTGGCGGTAGCTGTGTCTGTGTGACAAGAAGCAGAATCTCACACATCGTTCCACAAATATTGTACCCACAAAACTTCCAGCATTGTGGAAGGCCCTTTCCACTGACTTTTTCTCCTGCTCCCATCTGGCAATCGGTACAGGAACATCCAAACCAGTTCTGCCAGATTCAGAAACAGTTTCCCCCCAGAGGCTGTCAGGACATTTACTCAGCTACCTCCCTGACCACCTACCCATTCCTAAGAACAGCCACACCCCCCTTGCGTCCAGCCCCCATGTTTTACACGGTCCTGCATTTTGCACTTTAAGTACCACAAAACTCTCTCATTGTCACGTGCTATTTATTGTCGCACAGTAGCCCTGGTCTCACCCTATATTACAATTACGTATGTTTCATTCACATTGTATACGTGTATATAGAGGGTATGACATTGAAGTCCACTTGATTAGATTTCAAACAGCCTGTAACTATTAAGTACACTGATTTTTCTTTACCTAAACGTTTAATTGCTTATCTGTGTTTAATGTGCAGATCCTCTGTTAATTAAAACTTTGTAAAGTCTGTGGGTCGGCGACTTGTTATTTATGGTCTGGCCAGCACTGATCTAGCTGCTTATTTAGAGATTCCTTCGCTACAGCTCTTTCCATTGCATCTGCGCGATGCAGCTGTCAGAACGTCACCGTCTCGTCCAGCTAAATACTATGTGCAAATACTATTCGAGTGTCTGTAAATGAGTATCACGAGTAATGTATCTTTCTGCAACTGCAAGTAAAATATCAAGAAACCTTCAACGAGATACTGAATTTCTATCGTTTTAAAGATATGGGAACTACATTGTCTGGCCAAAAAAAGTCACCGATTGAATTTAAATCAAGTATTTAAGAGCCAATGATTGGATCATTATTACAGCTCAGCAACATTATAAAGTGAAGTCAGCTGAGTACCTGAATCTACTGAACAGCCAGATTACCCCATCAATGGATTTTTGTCTTTCCTAATGGCACGGGCATATTCCAGGACGATAATGCAAAGATTCATCGGGTTCGAATTGTCAAAGAGCGGTTCAGGGAGCATGAGCAATAATTTTCACACGTGAATAGGCCACCACAAATTCTTGATCTTAACCCCAGTGAAAGTGTTTGAGATGTGCTGAATAAGACTTTGCGGAGTGGTTCAACTCCCCTGTCATCAATTCAAGACCCCAACAAGAAATTAATGCATATCCGGATGAACAAAAAATGTTGAGGTGTTACATGAGCACCAAGAAACAATGCATTGACGAGAGTGCACCCTCAAAGCTAAATGCGGTCCAACGAAATATTAAAATGTACAACTTTTTTGACCAGGCAGTGTATCTCAGTCACTAGAGGGCATAACGTGGTCGCCCTATAATCTAGTCTGTCCTTGTCCACTTAACAGTTTCCGTGAAAGCACAGCTACCCACCTTTACCCGAGCTCTGCTGCAGAAAACCAACTAACTATAACCTAAAGTCTATCGCATATTAAATTAAAAGTGGACAAACATGACACACCAAATAAAATCGCTGTATACTTTCTCCCCGGTCTGCCGGGGACAAACTCACCCTCGGGCTAGCGGCGTGACGCTGGCAGCATGACCGCACCGATGGGCGGGCCGGAACGGCGTGCAGCTGCTCAACGAAAGCGGCTTCACAACCTGCTGTTTATCATACGATCACCAACGAACTGCTAATAAACCGTTTTTAGCTAAATAAAGTACAACAAACGATTGCCAGCTGCTTCCTAGGTTGACAGAGGCGGCCGATGATTGGCCGGAGAGGCGACCGCTGATTGGCCGAAGAAGCCCCAAACCGGCGTGACGTCACGTTTCTGCTTCACACGCACAACGGAGTCCAGAATCGACCAGGAAAACGAACAAAGTGGCAGTACGGCTTGTCCTTTGTGTTCTTTCTCCCGGAACACAGCATTTGCTTTTCGCCGTTAGTGCGGCAGGACTGCATACGCCCCAGATCCGCGGCGATTTAACACAGTAAATGAGGAACCCCTGCGGAGAAAACCACGAGTACTCGGTCTTATGTAGTGAGGCATTTCTGACGCCAGATGGCGACACGGCACCGCGCAGCGTCGGCATTCAGCGTGACACGAAAGTGCTCAAGGGATGCGTCTGTTTCAGTGCCTTTCAGTACAGTGTTCTGGGAGCGCATAGGTCAGATCACTCTGGGTTATACCGACGTGTATTTTAGCTCCGATGCCAATCCTTTTCTTTAGAAAAAAGTAAAAGTCAAGCCCCAGGTAAACTTGATCTAGCCCCTGATCTTTAAAATAGCCAGAAACTCCTCTGGTAAACACTGCAACCCTTTCTCATATTTTTAAAGTATCATATCATTTATAATTATCGATTCTAGGGACTTTGGGGGCCCTAGACAAAGAATTCCATGAAGCCCTCCAACTCCCCCTCCCCCAGCATGGTAAGATTTATTACATTAATATCAACAAAGAATTTAATGAATACACGACCTTTCACTTTTGTGAAAAATACAATACACAAATAAAGCTGATTTGTCGTTGCAGCGTACTATGTAATTGGCCGCCCTCGGCGGGGCCCCTCCCAGCTCGGGGCCGCAGGCCTTGCTGCTGCGCCTTGGCGTATCACCAGTGAACGGACGGGGGATTTTTCTCAGTTAACTACGTATTTAGTATTGTTAAAATGGGACACTTTCTGAAAAACTGCTTTATGGAAAAATTCATAGAATCATCTCAATGTCTTGAATCCCAAATTGATACCATTCGAAATACATTAATGCCCTCTGAACACTATACAGAAGGAAAAATAAATATATTAACTGCAAATTTTAACTGTCCTGTTTTGCCAGGTGTCTCACCCTATATTACAATTACGTATGTCTCCGATTTCCTAAACATACTTATTTTGTTATTACAAACAGTTTCCTTTCCAAAATGATCCAAAAGTTAGGAAAAAGCCTTGCTTTACCGATCCGTTTTGCTACAAGTACACACGAAGGAAGCTGGATTGCGACAGAAGGCTTAGGTCTCAATTGTTTGGCGTTCCCGTTGAGCACCGTGAAAGAACGCAAACACAGATATCCCATTTAGATAAGATTAGGTAACGGGACAAAAAAGTCAACGTTTGCATTCAGGAATGTTCCCATTTGCGTAGATTTGCATGAGGCGAGCGTGCACGACATAACGGAGGGTGTTTCCCGTTCTCGCGCATTTGACTGGGGACGCGCATAATACTGGAGGCGACTGTCTGTTGTGAAATACTCGCATATGAGAAATCGTTTTGCATATAATATATGGGAAAACAAGTAGGCCACAGGTATGATTTGGGGGGGGGGGGGAATCTGTTCGGAAAACATTTTACACATGCTGGTCAGTCATTACAGACAGTTAATGTGTTGTTACCCATCTTATAAGACCCGTGTCAAAATAAATGTATTATATTTCCTGTACGTGTGAAATCAAAAAACTTGGGATTGTCTTAAGCCAGCCAAATGCCAACATTTTAATTCTGGGGCTCTGATGGGAGAAAAATAAATGACTGTAGCTTCCTTCTGCCTCCTATTCAGTAACTGAATCTGAATCAGATGAAATGCTGAAAATGACAGCCTGAGAGCGCTGACAGCGTGATGATAAAATCAGCGTTGGAAATACACAACCTCAGTCCAAGAACAAGTACCACTGGAGTCCACACGCTAACTAACAGGACAGGGGCTTCAGTTTTTAACTTTTATTTTAGATGTCTATCACGTTGAAGGAGAAAAGGGGAACACAAAATGAGCTTGCTTGGGAAAACAGCGCATTTGCTCCAGCAGCTCAGGACTGTCGGCGGTGAGTCAGAGATCAGCTGACAGGCAGCCGGCTGCTCTTACGCCACACGCCGCAAAGGGATGGAGCCCCCGCGGCGAGGAGGCACCCCAGCAAGGAAGGACCTGGAGGTGCAAACCCCAGAAGTCCAGCTGTGCGAGCCGCAGGGAAGCATAGCCTGCTTCCAGGGGAATAATGAAGTCAGGGATGAGGTTTGACGTGCACCACGTGTTCAGTCACAGAACAGGCCTCATCATGCTTAAAGGGAAAATGTCAAGCATAAACAATCAAGGAGGAATGCAAAAAGTTATTACTGCCTCAACTTCTATGTTTTCCTCTAAAGGAAAATCTTTTACCCATTTAAATGTCCCACTTATACTGCTGTCATCACCCTCCCACCCAACTACCTGTAAACTTTGCCCCATATGCTTATCAGTAATTGACATCAGTTCATTCCATTTCATATGTATCGTTGTCCCAGTCGACACACCACAGCACATAAGGCACAAGGAAATGTATCCTCTGCATGTAACCCGAATGAAGAGCCATTATCCCTCATGGCTGCCTGGAGACCTTTAACCTGGATGAAGACGCTCCAGAGATAGACCGAGCTCTACTGGGAGGAAGGGGAGGAGGCTGGAATTTGCAGGACAGAAACACTACAGTCTTGAACACCAGGAAAATGTTAGCGCTTTGCTTTTCTCTCAAGCACTCCGCCTACAGACAAGCGCTAAAGGAAGGGCACAGATCAACACGGCAATAGCTCTTGTTCCCTTCAGTTTAAAAGAAGAAAAAAAAAAAAAGTTGCTGATCCATGGACTGACATACGCTTCCCAAATCCACTCAATCTTTGCACACAAAACCCACAATTGGTTTTGGAATCATCTTTATTAATAGGAAAACAAAAACTAAACAAAAGTGCAAAAAAAAAAAAAAAAAAAAAATTGTGTTGGGGGGGGAAAGGGGGGGCTTTTGGGGGGGGGGGGGCACAGGGCAGGATGCTTACGCACAGTGTTCCGCACCGCTGGGACTCCTGACCGACCCGATACCGGAGAGGGGCGACGGCGCCGAAATGGCAGAAGTGGGAAAGGCACTATCCGGAGGCGGGTGGGGTGCGTGGCGCCGTGTCTCAGAGGGAGCGCAGAAGCTTCCAGAAGGGCCGGGTAGCACGACAGCATCACGAACATCGGCGCCCGTAACGGCGTTCGGCTGGTCGGTCTGCGGCTCCGGCTGCCATCAATACACTGGATAAACTGGGCTGATGGCTCTGGGTGCACTGGGGCGGAGGGGTCCCAAGATGGAACAGATCAGGCCGATCATTAATTACTCCACGGTATCTGAAGGCTGTCAGATAATCCAGAACAATCACACCGACAATTAGTCATATTCAAGGCCTAAGAGGTCTTTTCCAGACTATCGTGGGTGAACATAATTTACATATTCAGGGGAGACGGGGGGGGCGGGTGAAAGACATACACATACAAATATATATATATTTATATATTCTTAAAAAAAAAAAAGGAATCTCTCTATGTATTTTCTTTACAGAGCAGAAGGCCAATGTTAAATCCCCACACCCCCTTGCTCTACACGGCACAATTCAGCTGTCATTCAAAACTGTATCTTAATTGCATTTTAATCTTTTAACACAGCGTTAGAATTTACTGGAATTTCCTGAAGGTGATTAAAACATGCGCGAAAGAAAAAAAAAAGGAACAAAATGGGGGAGGAAAAGCAGAAGCGGTTTAGAGATAAATTAAGAGAAACCATTTTAAGTTACGATTTCGGTGCACTATGCGAGTTTCTCTGTCTCCATTTATGCATTCTTTTTTAATATCATTTAAATGTTTTATTGTTATCGACAGTTCACCGGTGAGCGCGGTGTTTGCCGGGCTGGCAAACATTCTCAGGCAGCTTCTCTCAAACGGCACAGCCGGGTCACACAGGACCCATTCTCACTCGTTCTTTGTTTCCTTTCTGTTCTCAGTTCCAGGCTCTACCGTTGTGTTGGGTCTCTTCAGAAGAGGGGGTGGGATGGGGTGAGAGTGAGGGAGGGATTGTGGGCAGGAACTGGGGAGCGGGGCACTTGGAAAGGGAGGGTGGGAGAGGCTGGGGTTGGGGAGCGGGCTTTATTTCTTTTACATGTTCCGGTTGACAGGGGTGACGTAGTTGCGGGGGAACATGCCAGTGAGGCTGTGGCACGCCCCCTTCCACCAGTTGGGGTCGGAGTTGTCCAAAACCTGGATGAAATCTCCACGCCGGAAGCCCAGCTCGCCATCCTCCTGAGGGTCGAAGTCAAACAGCGCCTGCACATACGTTGGATTCTGCGGGGGGAGGGGGGGGAGGACATGCTAAGGAGCAGGAGCGGCACGCCACGAGCCTGTATTTGCCAGTGCTCTACAGCGCCCCCTTTTGGCAGCGCCAGCTAATTAAAATCGCCCGAACCGTTTGGGGACACCATGGCATCCACAACACCCACCAACCAACCAATGAAGATGCAAGAGAACAGGCACTCAGGAAATGCAAGGGTGCGGACTGATGACCAAGTTGCCCCTGTGCTCTAAGTCTATGGTGGCCTAGCTGTGCTGGAAGGGTGGGGGGGAGACTGCCTCACCTGAGGAACCTGCTCGATGTCCCGCAGGAAGATCTGCTGGTTCCGTGACACAGACGTGGACCGGTGATAGTCCACCAGCTCGTTGAGAGAGTTGAACTTGACTACCCACAGGAAGTACTTTCCAGCTCCATCCCGCAGGACCTTGAAGTGCTGGACGTCATTCCCAAACCTACAGATGGCGTACAGCTTGCTATTAGAGTGGGTGACTGGATGGCAGTCATGTGACTTGTGGCTTGATTTGTCAAGATCAGAAGTCAAACCTTGATAAGTTCTAAATTATTACAGAAGTAGTATAGATATGGCAATTAAGTCCCCCACGGTTTTTATTTTAGAACTAGGAATACTAGAAAAAATACAATTATATGAACTGTGCTCAGTAAAAAAAATAATGTAACAGTAATAAAAAAAGCAATTACAGGGATGAGAGCAGGTGCCCAAAGAAGCCACCAGGGGGAAGCACTGTGCAAGCCTCCCAGACCTATGGCATCATCACGCCCCCACATGACCACATGAGCCAGGGCAGGAGAGAATGTGCACGCATGAACCAAGCACTCACTTGACAGACAGGCTGAAGTCGCCGGGGGCGCTCTCGCTCTCGCGGATGAGGAAAGCCCCATCGTGCCTCTGTTTGTTCAGTATCTCCTCTGCTTTGGCCCGCGGGATCTTCCCGAAAAACCACCTGTGACAGAACAGGCGTCCATCAAATGGGGACTCATGCAGCTCCAAGGTGCCATCGCTCATCACTGACTCTGTACAAGCTCCTCCCCCTTATCCGGGCTACCCTGCCGCGTCCCCCGGGGGATGCACGCCGGCCCGCTGCCCCAAGAGGACGACGCAGAGACGCCGCTCCGCTCCTTTGCATAGGGCTGGAGAGCGACAGTGAAATGAAAGATTTTAATCCTGGCGGAGGCGCCGTGGTGGCACTTCCTGGTGTGACAGCGGGCCGGAGTGTTACAGGAGTCACACAGGGAGGCTGAACAGCAGGTAGCCCAGGAGGAGGAGAGGCCCTGGCACAGCGAGAGAGAATTCCCCGGCTGGGTCGGCACCAGCTTCTCCGCGTCCCCAGAAAGGCAGGTGACCCTGCAGGCTGCGTGTGAACATCCTGGTTGAGCCTGATGACATCGTGATGAAAATCGATAAGTCAGGAGGCCGTGAGAGGAGGAGACCTACGAAGGACCGACTCCCTTGACGTTGTAACATCATCTAAACAGGGCTGTGTGTCAACTCCGGGCAGACGTCCCAGCAGTGTGGCTGGATTCCGTAACGGATGAATGCAGCTTCTTTTATGACAGTCATCCGATACTACAGCTGCTGATAGAAGCGTGCCCAGCGCAGCTCCTGATGATACCTGGGGCAGACGGGGGAACGTGCACGGAGGTGCGGGGGGGGACGTGGTGGGGAGACCATGGGAGGTGTGAGGAGGCACGGGGTGTGAGGAGGCACAGGGGGAGGCGGGAGGTGTGAGAGGAGGCGTGGGGTGGAGATGGGAGGTGCGGGGGAGACGAGAGAGAAGGCACGTGGGGGAGATGGAAGGCGCGAGGGGGAGACAGGAGGCGCAGAAGGAGACAGGAGGTGTGAGAGGAGGCGTGGGGTGGAGATGGGAGGCGCGAGAGGAGACGAGAGAGGAGGCACGTGGGGAGATGGGAGGCGCGAGAGGAGGCGCGTGGGGGAGACAGGAGGCGCAGGAGGAGACGGGAGGTGTGAGAGGAGACGTGAGGGGAGGTGGGAGGAGACGGGAAAGATAGCGGACAGGCCAATTACTGTTCAAAAGATGATGGCGGACCCTGTGGGCAGACCTCCTTCCCTCTGCTGCACAGCTCAGACATCGTCAGGGTGAGGCCCCCAAAATGTCTCCAAAAAGTGCATATTGGGATGAACCATTACTGTAGCTGGGAAGCAGAGGAGGAGCCTGTACAGCAGTCAGCCAGGGCACATGTAGCGGATACATGCACAGACACTAACTGAGTGAGTACAAGAGAAAACTGCACTTTGGGTAAGTTTGCTAAAAGGCCTCCAACACATGCACACACACGTACTCATGCACACACACATGTGACACATGTGCAACATCCAAGCTGTACTCACGGATGTGCTTTCATTTCAATGTAGTTCTTGGGTATGAAGCCGTCTTTGCCGTTGAGCTCGGCCTTGTACCAGTTCTGGTCGCACTCCTCATTGAGAACCTGCCCAGGACACAGAGCAAAGGCAGGGTTGGGGTCGGATGCCGCAGCAAAGCAGCCAGCACTGAGCTCAGCGTGTGGACGTCCGGCACCACGCCCAGGCCGCTGAACGCCAGCGGTGGCTATGACATCAGCTGACCAGCAAAGGTTAGAAAAGGCTTCTGCACATGTACACCGGGTCTGGAAGACTTTCGGTTCGAATAAAGGCTTAGAGTGCTGCAGATAGATCTTTTAAAACAAACACACAGGGTTTAACTTGCAGTGCGTCAGTGAACCAGCATCAGTGAAAAACGCTGGCATCAGCAGATCAGCACTTTCGACTTCCAGAAAGCTGGTCAGAGAGGAGCCCCTAAGTCAACCAGAAACATTTAGAGGGTTTTTTTTCTTAAAAAATAAAAGCGACAAGCTTAAAAGCCGAGCACATCTTCCCCAGGCCGTGTAATCTGTACCGACTGGATTTGAATACGGTCACAGTGCCCCCCCCCCTCCAGTCTGAATAATTGTTTTACTGGCAATTCAAAGGAGCCACACCGTGACCAGGGATGTTATCGCTCTCCAGTGACACGACTCCGTCATGCACATGTGCAAATTTGCGGGCATGAAACGTTCAGTTGGGCTATTGTTAGAAAACAAGGGGTACTTAGTCCAAACCCAAGCACTTAACTGAGCACTTTAGAACATGCCGGAACAAGAGCTTATAGGTCACCGATGATACCCGTGATCCCATAGTGGCCCGTAAGCACAGCGTGGAACATGGGAGGCCAATTCTAGCGACACTCACTCTGCGGTGTCAAGTTAAATCATTCATTTTTAAATGTGCTGTACAAACAGGACCAGACCCAAAGTGTTCTCCAGTCTAGAGAGAAGTAATTAACTGTCCCACATTCATACATACGTGCATACAAGAAATAAAGTAAAAATGAGAACAAACATTCAAGGAAATGTAATACAATAAGGAACAGATTTTTTTTTTTTTTTTTTTTTAAAAGAGGGTAATTAAAAGTGTTACTAAAACAATTAAAAGTAAAAATAGTGGACTTGACAAAAACCACATGGGAACCTCAAAGTGCTTTCAAAGCAAGAGAAAAAAGGTGGTTTTTAAACGCATCTAATATTAAGATGATGAGAGACTAAGTCTGGGAGCAGCTAGAGAGGAAGCCTTCGGTTTAGTGGAGGACTGGGAAGAGCTGTTGTGAGGACGACCAAAGGGATCGGGGGGCTGAATATGCAAATAGCAGATCCGAAATGTATTGTGGGGCAGTGTACATCACCGACAGAGGAAAACCCAGACAGACAAAGCGGTTTTCTTGCAGCAGATCTGTTGCATTACAGCGGCACAGAGGCCAGTCCAGGAGCTCTGGCAGCCATGAGGGAGAGAGAGACAACAAAACGACACGTCAGCCTGTCAGAGACGCAGTTGAATGGCAGCTGTCATATCCTGAATCAGAGTGATGTCAGCGGCAGCCGATTGGCTAATCAGCTACGGCACAGCAGGGCTTTCGGGCGGGGTCTCACCACCATGGCGCATGGACACAGGCCGAGCCCGGCCAGGGGATCTTCGGTCCAGAACCATCACACCACCTGGTGGTGTTTCACAGCGAGACAAATTTCTCTCAACAAACTGACCCTTGAGGCAGCATTTACACAGGAAAACACCATGTAACACAAAGGCTTCTGCTTCTCCAGTCATGCACATGGATCCAGGACCTGGGATGCAGGGCCTGGACGTGAGCCCGCACTGTCACCCCGTGGCCTGTACGGGACGAGCTGCGTTCTTCTGGCTGAAGCCCACTGACACGCGTCACAAAAGGCAGGAAAAAGTTCACAAAGGAGGAGCTGAAAAGCAGCAGCCACAGGATCGAGCGGAGAAAGTGCTCCAGCAGGCAGTGCGGTGGACGCAGTGGTACCAGGGTCACATCACCTGCATGGGTATTTCACAGGGGACCCCAAAATGGGGTGGGGGGCAGCCAAAAGGTGCTAAATTAAACAAAATGAGGACGAGCGGGTCCCAGGCGGGACAGCAGCAGGCTGCCAGGTTTCACAAACGTCTCTGTTGCAGAAGCAGCCACTTAGAGATAATGACGCTTGTTTTGCTGTACGGCCTGACTGCTAGGGAGTACGGAGTCGGCACACGGCCACTCCAATGCGGAGTGGCAGAACCGCAGAGGATGCATGCAGAGGGTGCATGCAGAGGGCTGACTCAAACTGCAACTGCTCTGCCCCACCAGCAGGGAAACGGGAGTGGGTGGACAGGAAGAGAGAGGAGCACGAGGGCCCGGCCTGCCCCCGATCATACACCATACAGATGACCCCCTCCGTGCAGTCGCCTCGTACTTCACGGTGCTGTCAGATGCGGCAAGGAGGAGGCCCGTTGCTCACCGCAGCGAAAACACCTTAGAGGCAGATTAATGGTGTAGATCGGCATGCGCTCGTGGGAAAAAACAAAGCAGCACTCACTGCTTCAACAGCCACACCTGGCAAAGATCAGTGACCCCACTCTAGGGTACAAGAGCAGGCCCGAGGAAACACAAGCTCCTTAATAGCCGGCGTCCCCATTCAGCTTCATCACTTAACATCCACAGGTTGCGTAGGATGGGCTAGAAGGCTGAACGAGGGAGGTGATGCTCGAAATCCTACCTGATCGCGTGAACAGAGTGATCTGGTTGGGGGAGGCGGCAGATCTTGGGTTTGCTCCACTTAAGCTTTGGAGTTCGGAGGGAAAGTTTGGGGGGGGGGGGGGGGGGGGGGGGGGGGGGGGGGGGGGGGGGGGGGGGGGGGGGGGGGAATCAAACAGGAGGAGCCCACGCAGGCGAGCGTGTCAACACCGAGGAAGCAGGTATTAATGGCGGGAAGAGATGAGGTGAGAAAAGCGCAAAGACGTGGTTACTGTTAGCCTTGATAGACTCCTGATCCGTGGCATCAGACGTTGCTCGTCGGGTTTACCTGGCAACATGATGCTCTGCGGGGCTCTGAGGATGCAGCCACCAGCCAGAGTGAGGGAACCACCCCACCACAGACAGAGAGAGACATCTCACACTGTAAGCATGGCTGTCAATAAAGCAGACTAGAAGCACAGTTGGCCCAATTTATCTTTTGGCTATAACCCACAATGGCGTCTGCCGAGAGAGACTGCATCTGGCTGCACTAACAGCTCAGCTCACAGCGCACACATGCACAGCTGAATGCGCACATGCCACAGACATGCACACGAAAGCAGCCACTCATTTACACCAGCACCGGTGCCCTGCATGTGGAGCACACCAACCTGTCACCCAGCGCATGCCACCAAGACGCGTAACTGCGGCAGGCCGTGCACAGACGCGTAACTGCGGCAGGCCTTGCACAGACGCGTAACTGCGGCAGGCCATGCACAGACGCGTAACTGCGGCAGGCCATGCACAGACGCGTAACTGCGGCAGGCCATGCACAGACGCGTAACTGCGGCAGGCCATGCACAGACGCGCAACTCATCCAGATGATGTTTATTGCACAGCAGGCTGTGGCTGGCAGACGTGCAAATATTACCATCAACGAGCAAAGTGTAAGAGACATGAAACTAATCCCTAATGGTCTGAAAGCGACGCCAGCCTCACCGTGGAAGCCAGAGGCGCGCGGTCCTTGACCAGGGCGGGGCCAATCAGGCACTGCCTTACCGAGCCAGTGGAGCTGGTGAAAACGCCAAGTCAGCAGGTCCTGAGGCTCAGCAGGGAAACTCAGATACGGGTCCGGCCGTTCGAGGCCTTCACAACGCACAGGCCACAGGTGCTCAAAGGCACGTGACCCACATTTAGACAAGCTTACACACGGGACTTCTGAATATTTCTAGAATCTTCCGGGAGCAGTTGGGTGGAAGCCAGAATTACGCAACGCACCGTCGCATTCACACGCGCAAATGTAAAAACGTTCATTCCCAGCTTACACACACATGTGCTGACCATGCTCAGCTGGGTCTGTGGCAGCCTGATAAGCGGGAACCAGACACCGATACACACAGACACACGCGTCATGATCAAGGCGATAAACCGCACTTGGGCCCAAACAGACACACGGCTGGCGGGCGAGAGCTACACAGGATCCGAAAGCGGCCCGGTACAGGGGAACCCGCCCCTGAGCTCCAAAGCCATACAACGCGTTTGAAAGAGCTTTTTCGCCACGTTTAACTGTCCCAAAATTCAGCAGTGAAAAGAAAAAAGAAAAAAAAACCTGACCACCACACGGAGAGGCCGCAGCAGTGAAGCGAGACGGCAAGAAGCAAGACGATGCGGCTGTGGTGAAGATCAAAGCGAGGATGGCGGATGTGGCTGATGCCAGGGCTGACACGCGACCCCCACTCTTCCACCAGGGGACAGTCCTCCACTCGTGTGCAAGGTCACGGCTGTGCAGGGTCCCTCGTATTCCCCCATCCCTTCCCTCGAAAGCTTCACGTGGGACACATCGAGGTCCTGTGGGACACGCACCAACATCGAGATCTTTATATGCTGCCTACCGCTGCCGTTTCAGACCAGTGCTCTGGAGATGCCGCTCTGGGGCTGGTGGGTGTTGTAAGGACAGATGGCCCAGTCAGCAGATTCACATCCCTACAGACATCCACATCTCTCTTAAGCACATTCGGCCGCCTGTTAAGATGGCTGCCTTTGCAATCGGCTTCATCAGCCACGTCTGTTTACCGCCTCAAACATCCCGGTGAACAGCTCGCCACCGCTGGCGCGTACATGCAGATGGCGCCTCCCTTCTCGACCCGCCGACGTGTGATGATTAGATAAACAAGACTGAGGGAGCCTCTCAGTAAGTAGGGTGCCAGCAAAATCCAAGATGGCAACAAGCAGTACAACCAGACACAGATACACACGAGTTAACGCTAGTTACCAGAAAACTTTAACCAACTACAGAAACAAGGGATTCTTTAAAAGACACATTAGGGTCTGTTCAGATGCATTCGGAGGTCTGCATGTCGCCACAGTTGTGCAGCCAGACATCGGCAGAGGGGGGCTGACAGAGCAGGCCTGCTCCATCGCCACCGCTGCAGGCGGGAAACGTCCCTTTGAACACCGACAACACGCTTCCTTCCACCAGGCTGGTGAAACAGACCCCCCCCCCCAAAATCAAGCAAGAGCAGGATCAAAGATAAAAATAGAAACTAGAACATGCTGGTAGAACTTCGGGGTGAATGATTCTCACACAATGAATCCATCCAGGCAAATTTTTTAAAAAAAAGGAAGTTTTCCAGGAGGAAAATACCAGACGATAGATGAGACAACAATCAGAAAGAACGTTGGTCAGAAAGTCACCCCCTGCTCATGAAATCCCCCCAGGGACCCATGAGAGGCCCTCCGAGGCTGCCAGACCTGCGGTTACAAGCGGAAGTTTCAACAACCCATTACGACTCATGGCCTCTTCCTGAAATGTGACACACGGCTTAGAGAAGAGCAAACTGGACCCATGAGCCAGGCCCAACTCAGCCCAGCACACCTTCGCACTGTAAGGGGCTTTGAGGTCGAACTCCCCAGCTGTCCCCAGGGCAGTCTGCCCTTGCAGCTTCATTAGGACACAATCACCCCGTCCTCGGAACCTTGGAGCAGCCCGGCGTCCTTTCAGCAGGAGCTCTGGGCCACGTCTAAATAAACCCAAGTGCCCGCTAGACTCTCAGCGTCCGATAAACCCAGAAAAAACAGCGGCCTGCCAACAGCCCAGTGCGTTTCACCAGGCCTGGGCTGAGGGGGGACTGAGGAAAAACAATAGAGGCAGGTGCCCTAGAAAGCAACAAGTTAAGCAAAAGGAACAGAGACTGGCAGGTCCACGTTCTGAAGGCCAGAAGGCGGCTGCTCTCAGGATAGCTGGGTTCTGCCATGCAGCAGGTTTCCGGTGCATATATGTGTGTGTGTGTGTGTGTGTGTGTGTGTGTGTGTGTGTGTGTCTGCACACAAACTACAAACCAACTTTGCAAAAAAAAAGAAACATCAAAACAACCTGCAAACCTGCAGCTGCGTGAACTGCTATGTGACTCATAGTGTCATTCTACCTTCTCCCTGGGCAAGACAGCAAAGAGAAAACAAAAAGCAAAAAAAAAACACGTTTTCTGAGTCACTAGGACTGTTTGCTGGGGGGGGAGACCTGAGATCCGCTACCCAGAGAGAATGTAAACCTGGCGGCTTGACATTCAGCTACAAGTAAAAATCAGTGAAACCTGAAAAAGAGGAGGAGGGGAAGAAAACAAGGTCTTACAGTCATTATGTGAAAAGCTGCTTCTCTGGTAGACACTCTGACGCCGATTTCCCTTAAAAAGAGGAGCACGTCACACAGAAAACTAGGCTTCAGCATGTGGCGCGAGCTGAAAATATCCCGAGAGGCATAAAGGACGAGAGCACATGTGGGATGGCACGGGCGAAGCCCTCACGGCACACGGGCACGCCGTGGAACCCTCTTCCACTCCGGAGAATTTCCGCGCCACAAGCTCAAACTGCAGCTACACAGTGAAATCTGCCGCAGAGAGGAGCGTCCTGCTCGCAGTTCCCGAGTTCTCAGCTGTGAAGACAGCATTGAGAGCAGCAGCTAGAGGGCAGGAACTGGCTAAAAGGTGTGGGTGACTTGTTCAAAACCCAGGGGGCTCTGCATGTGGTCACCACCCCCTGCAGGTCAAAAGGTGATCAACTACAACTATATGGGTCAGGCAGGAGGGCACCTGCTGCAAATCACAGGAGAGACTGACTGCAAATTCATACATTTCAGCAGGTCATCTGAAGGTCTAGGGGTCAACCACTATCACCACTATCAAACAGACTGCTTTACCAAAGTCTTATGGCAACAACTGACATGGGGTAACATTACCATATGCACGCACGTGCACGCACGCACACTAGATGCAAAGTACAGTTGCCCAGCAACCTCTTTAAATATTAGGCAATTAAAAAAAAAATTTGGTGGGGGGCATTCCATATAAAGAAATGTTATTTGTATTATATATTTTCATATTAAAGAGGCAGGCCAAAGATGATTAGGATGATTATAGCACTTGCGTTAACAAAAAATCCACTTTGATACCACAAAATCCCATACAGGTCAAGGCTCAGAGGAAGACACACAACCACAAGTCAGCAAGAAAAAGGGGGAGAGAGAAAAAATAGCCTGGATGTCCCAGTAAAACACCTAAATTAGACAAAAGATAGTTCTAAAACGAATCCTCCATTTTTCATGCGTTAACTGACCCACTCAAATCTAGTGTTCAGAGAGCATATTGTAAGCAAAGTAGAAAATAAACACCAACACCGTCCTGGGAGAGAGCAGCAAGTCCCTGTCAACACAGGAAGCCAATACGGACCAAAAAAATCCACTTCCTGTGACATCAGCCATTTGTTTTTTTATTTCTCCATTCCTGCACTGAAGAGGTTTAATTTCTTGTGTCTATCGGCTGCCATTTTTTCAAAGCACGCTTAGTCACTGACAATTCTAAAGAAAGTTTTATGCAATCTATGAAAAAGTGCCAAACCAGAGTGAAGACATAGTAAAAACCTTAAGCTGTAGTCCTACAAGAGGAAACGACTTGTGCACTTGATATGTGCTGATAAGATCGCCGAACTTTTCCTTGAAAACCTACAACAAACATTTCCTTGTAACTGACTTGCAGTAAAAACATGGCTCATTGGGTCAGACTGTAACTTACAGGTCATCCAGGCATGTTCTAGGATCACAGATGCCCCAAAATAGATGCTCTTATTATCCATCCATTGCCCCCAACTGGGTTTCAACCGACACATTTACTAGTTAAAACAAGAAAGAGTTGACCATTTCATTTAAAATCAATTTTAATTTGTTTCCTAAAGCTGTAATGCACAAAACGCAAGCTGTTTAATAAACAAATGTGATATCCAATCAGAAGTTCATAAAAAAGTATATATTATTAAAAAAACTCACTAAACACCTAGTTGTATAGACTAGAAAGTGCGTTTCTAAATGGAAAATTTAGCAACAATTCTCTGCGGAAATTATAAAAAGTTGCCATTAAAATACTGGAACAATGTAGCCTGAAGAAGACAGAACGAGATAAAAGTATTTTAAAGCGATTTAAGTTGTAGTTACAATTTTGTCATGAATAAGCCTATAAACCAAGCATCGTATATTATAAACATTTATTATTACTGCGACAAAAGAAAAAAATTACCTTAAGGACTTCTCCACGTTTGAAACTTAATTCGTCGTCTGCAGTGGCTTTAAAGTCGTATTTGGCAATGGCTTCCATAGTGCAGGATCCGGTACTTCTTTATGTACAGTTCAGGGTACAAGCAAAGGATTTCCGCGATTTCTAGCGGTTCACTCCTTACTGGCAGGTGCTGCCAAACGCTTTTTATTGAAATCAATCACAAGTTCAAATCCCGTGGCTTGGTCTCCCCACGTCTCTCTCCTCCGGTCTGTGACCCGATGGTCCTTAACATAAAAGGCCGCGCCAATTTACCTGGAAAAGGAAATATGCGTTAATAATCACTGGCCTAGTAACTGCGCTACGCTCGCAAATACACTATATATGGAAAAACTATATTTAACCCTGATATACAAGTGTTAGATAGAACCCCACCCTGAGCTGCGACTGGTATTAAAACGCAAAGAGTCCTCAATAGAGGAAGGAAACCATTCGGCTGACATTCCGCATGGCCAACTACCACCGTCCTTTACCACAAAACAGCCAATCGGACCGAGGGAGCGAAATATCGACCAATAGGAACGTGCTTAATCGCAAACAACCATTACTATTCCTGCGATGGCTGCGATCCAATGACCGTAGAGCATTTGGTACCGTTGTCAAATATAAAGAGACAGTCCTCAATCATCAGGATAAAATCTGATGCATGTTACTTCCTAACATTGTAATGTGAACAAAGCAGAGACTAATCAGTACTAAAATTTCGACAATACTTTATACACTGTACAATTGTTGCAGAACTGCAGCCTTGTCAATGCATTCAAATAATCAGATTTGTTTCATTAAATATCTAAATGCATCCGCGTCCGAACCGTTTAGTTTCATGCACATTTTTTAGGTGCTTAATAGTTAGCTATTGGGGTTACAGTCAATTGTGCGTGTCAAAATACTATTCCATACTAAAAAGCATGTATAAAGTGTCACTTGCCACACAAAGGAAAACCGAACTGACACGAACCTTTTCGCCTTATTACGCATAATCGGCGGTACTCGGAGGCATAGCAACACGGAAAGGATGCAAAACCTACAAGCCACATGAGACTCCCAAACACATTCAGAAGTACATGTATCGACAAACATTTGCTAGGGTTGCATGTCATACAAGTCCTCTACAAACTTTAAGCATTTGATGGGTCCAACAGTTCGGTATATTTACTAACAAAAAATGTTAACTGCCCAGTATCGTCGCCACGCCATAAACGTCAACAAAGAACAACTACAAACTAATAAATATAGTTTACAATGGTGATTAAAAAACAGCCGCCCAGCAGATAAGTAACTATATGCAGATATTAATAGCATCTTTGATTTAAAAGTTACTCCTTTCTGGACTGTTCTAGAAAAAAACCTTTACAGCTGAACACGCTCAAGAATACCCTAATCTACCAATTTCGCCAGTTTTCAAAGGACTCAATAGGCTCGTACAAAGAGCCTTATTTTTATAATCAGTTACCTTATAAAGCGAGCCAGCTAAAAACGTACGCGTCGACATCATGAAGAGCTACCCCCAAACATCCAGAAATAACCCACCCAGTGGACTACCTGATTATGCACCATGTCTTAGTAATTCGCGTATAATTAACGCGTTAAACCGTAAGAAACATTAGACAGTGCTTTCATAAGACAAGCGCCCCACTTCGGCGATACTAATCCTTTTGTTGGTAACTTGGTCGCATCGAAAAAGGGCAAACAGACAGGCCCCGTACGCGTCACGCACAGAAAAACCCATTTTTCCCTCTTCTGTGCCTCGGTCAGCTAAAATGAAGAAAAACTCACCCTTCTGCCTACTGGCTTAACTCAGCCCTCCTCAGGATTTTGGTTTTCGGATCTACCGTTGACACTAAACGTTTCCAGTTGTTATATGTACTCTTGCTAACTAGCTAGCTAAATGTCTTAATGTTTTTTTTTCTTTAAAAAAATCCCACATTATTTCCGCTTCCGCCCAGATGTCGCGTGCTCCTTACGGCCTCGCGCTGCGCTGACAAAGCTCGCGATATCTCTCTCATCATTTCGCATAGTTCAGAAACTTTGCTTGTAATGAGAAATTATTTAATGACGAATACACTAAGACATTTTATCTGGCTTAACATTGTGCTTTTCTATCCAGTAATAAACCAGGAAAATATTTATACATACTTATATATAGCTCATACATATTTATATATAACTCATTTTGGCAAAATTAGATTTCCTCTTTCTTTACATAGCCTATACTTATAGCATACCAGAATAACTATCTTAGGTAATAAACCACGACATAGTGACTTTTCCGTGCTCTAATCAGCTGCAAGAACTGTCCAGTATATAAAATACCACGTGGACATAACATTTTTGGTAAAACCGTGAAATGTGCGACATCTTGTGGTATTCCTGTAAAAAGCGAATAGTTTAACTAGCAATCCACAGAAAATGGATGGATGGATGGACAATCCACCCTTCTTCTAAAGCTTAATTATTTTATTTTCGTGAGGGATATGCAACGATACACCTGGGAACCAATTCTATCGTAGCACGCCGTGCTACATATTATATTAGCAATTAAGATTTGCTAATTAACCTACAGTAATTGTACGTCCAGGGACAGTGTGGGGGGTGCAAACTCAGCACAACCAGTACGAAAATGCGTTTCTAACCCGAGACACGGGAGTTACGAGGCAACCGGGATACCCCGTAAATCACAATTTTTTAAAACAAAAATTTTGATAAACTTTGTTCATGAATTTCTCAGATCGTAGGCCCATGTGCTTGGAAAAGTTCAAGAAAATACCACTCCGGTCCTTTTAGAAACAATATTACTTTTAAAAATGTAAAATGTAATGTAAATGTAAAATGTTACCGGGTACCTGCTTATATCAAGTTCCAGACAAAGAACGTTTGCAGAAAATAATGTATAAAATGAAATGGAATTCATGTAAATGCGATGCTGCAGCGCTTGGCTTTGCGGGTGAGTGTCCACCCCGCGTGCCTAGTGACGCCTTTTCTGAAGCATACAGCTGAGCATGAACCTTCATGCAGACCATTACCACAGCAGCAGCTCTCCGCACCATATTGATGTCTCTTTGAAAATACTTTTACTATAAGTGTTTTGAAAACGGATTTGAAAATTGTAGGAGCCAACAGAAGAACAGCATTTACCAGAGTACGATGAACCATATTATTTAGATTTAGCGTTAGCTGCTAGATCCCTGTTGTTTTTATTTTTTTCGAAATTGCAGCTCTGAGATGTAACTCTTTTTCCCGGCCATTTTTGCTTGGCAAATAACCATATCTGAAAGAAAATGTCGTGTGACAACTCGTTGGTTTCTTTGTATAATTCAACTGGAAATCTGGAAGGTAGGTGTTTTATATTGTGACAGAGAGCATATAATAATTGGGGCGCCCAAAGAGTCTGGGTGTCATGTAGTCCGTGCGCTTGAAAAACAAGTCAAAGAATGTTTGAATTTGGAGACACTCGTCAGATAAGCAAGTTCATTATGATAATAGTACGGTGACAATTACTCAGTTGACATTTCGTAGAATAAACAATACAACAAAAAAAAATCGCCCAATATGTTCTAAAACAAACCTCAGTTGTACGACAAATATATCAGGAATTAAATGTATTTAATTTGATATTTACTTTTCGTTGTTTTAAAAATTTCCTTATTCAGCACCACAGTGATGAACAGCACCGTTTGTTTTTAGAGGAACAATCTTGTATTTCGTGATGGCATTTCATAGAAAAGTCGGGTTGCTCGGATGAAAGCAACCCAGTATATTTCAAATTGCTCAGGGTTACAGTTGCTTTATTTTCGCTTTCTCTTCTCACCTGTAGAATATCAAGCGGCCAATCACAACATCCTGTTACCAAGCATTTTCGCGGTCATCTGTTTCCTGGGCATAACCGGGAACTGCACTGTGATCTACACCATCTTGAAGAACACCAAGTTCTGTGTCTGGCAGACCGTGCCAGATATCTTCATCTTCAGCCTGTCTGTTGTGGATTTACTATTTCTGCTTGGCATGCCTTTCCTCATCCACCAACTCCTTGGCAACGGCTCATGGCTCTTTGGCGCGACTATGTGTACGGTCATCAGCGCGCTGGATTCCAACAGCCAGATCGTCAGCACCTACATCCTCACCGTCATGACCCTGGATCGCTACCTGGCCACCGTGCACCCCATTCGCTTCAGCCGCGTCCGCACACCGCGCCTTGCCGCCTCCGCTGTGGGCCTTGTGTGGTTCGTGTCTCCGCTCACTGTCGCCCCCGTGTGGCTGTATGCGGGCCTCATGCCCCTGCAGGATGGCTCAGTGGGTTGCGCTCTGCTGCTGCCCGACCCAGCCAGAGATACCTACTGGTTCACCCTGTACCAATTCATTCTAGCCTTCGCCCTGCCCTTGGCGATCATCAGCGTGGCCTTTTCGCGCATCCTCCGTAGCCTGTCTTCGGCTGTAGTGCCGTTGCCCGTGTTGAGCCTGCGGGCACGGACGCGTAAGGTGACCCGGACGGCCATTGCTGTCTGCCTGGCGTTCTTCATCTGCTGGGCACCCTACCATGCCCTGCAGTTGGCCCATCTGGGTGTGCAGAGGCCCGGACGTGCCTTCCTGTATGCCTACCACGTAGCTATTAGCCTGGGCTACGCCAACAGCTGTGTCAACCCCTTCCTGTACGTGGCGCTCAGCAAGACATTCCGGAGGCGGCTGGCGACGGCTGTGCGGCGCACCAGGAGGGGAACCCGGGGGCTCCGCATTCACCCTGCTGTGGGGGCAGCGGACGGCAGTCTCTGTCTGCAGCTGGCACCCGACAACACGCAGCAGTCCAGGTCTTCAAGAGAGCTCCTCCACAACATGCTGCCTCTAACTGTTGCTGTACCCTAAGCCCTCAGTCACCATCGGCAACGAGCTCATCCCAGGAAAGGACTTTACTGTTATGCCTAAGAACACTGAATTAATTTATTGCCCATTAATAGCTTTTGCTTGCCCATAGCTTCACGGTTGGATACAGGAAACATCTCTTACTGGGACTTAATGGGACTCATGAAGCATTTTTGTGTTGTTTCTTTGTTGAAGACTGTAATAAAAAGTGAAATAAACTCTGAAGTTAGATGGCTACAGTTTGAGGACTGTTATGTGCCGCAAGTTTGGGGTAAATGAGCGTTCTTCATCTGCTGGGCACCCTACCATGCCCTACATGGTACTACGTAGTACGAGACTCTATGCCTTGCATTGTTTTACATATATAGAACACTGATTTAGAGCAGTCTGACACATGTACCCTTTGGTAATTTCATGATATGTGTAGGGTTTGTCTTAACTCTCTGAAGGCTGAGCCCTAAACATCCCCGGGCAAATAGTGTGCTCTCATTGTTAATGATAGGTCAGAACTGCTGAATATCACAGAAACACAGCAAGTACCAAATCACGACATTGAACATTGATTAGTCCTCAGAAATTCTGACTTCATGTCCACGTTATAACCTCCACAAAATAGTGTCAGGGCCTGCTCTGTTAGTCCGCCATGTTTCCATTTGGCCAGCAGAGGTCGCTGGCCATCCTGTAATTACCTCATTGTTTTTAGCCTAATATGCTAACCATCCACACCTGTCTTAATTAGGTCATTAACACTTGATTTAATGCCCTGTTTTTAGTTATTTATAAACACATTTATAATGCATTATAATGGTAGGTATAAGCATTAAGGATGCTTTGTACTGCATTATAATGGTATTTATGGGGTATTATAGATGAGACCTCCATAAGGCAGTCATAATGCATCATAAACACGACTATAATATGTTATGCCCTTTTTATCAATATTTATAGCCATGTTTATAATGTTTTACGAATGCATTATTTGCTATGAATGTGTTTATAAATGACTAAAAACAGCCATAACTAAAGTGCTGCTGCTAGGTCCTCGTTAGCTCTCTATACGTGTGTCTGCCCTCGCCTGATTGGCTAGCTCGACCACCAATTAGGTTGTAGAAGGTTCCGGTGTTAGTGTTTGAGTTCAATGTTGCTGTACCTTAGCTATTTTGCCCTAGTCCTGTCCATTTGGATCCTCCCCTTGTCTGTAATTATGTGTGCTTATGTACATAATAAAGTCCCCTCCAGTGTCGCCCAAGCTGAGCATGGATTGTCCCTCATTCATACATGCCATGCACATTGATGTATATTTAAAGTGTTTAATTGAAAACCAAATTGCCCTGATTGTATTGTCTGTCGACTGTGAATCTTGCTCTATTGCAGTGCGATTGCATTAGCTGGCGTGGCAAATGCTTCTGGTATGTACATTTAGGTCTGTGTAGTGGGAAGCACTATCCTGAAAGACATTTTGTCCTCTGTAGAAAAAAAAAGTTATTTTCCCCACAGCTCCATCACTTACTGTGGATCTGGATATAAACATTTATGGTGCCGGATAGCAAATGCTGTCGCTTTTATGCTTTATCTTGAGGCTAAAAGAAGACCTGCTTTAAAATGCATCATACGTGTGGCACCCGGAATGATATCGGGTGTCTCTGTACTCATGCAACACATTAATAAAAGGCCAAGCAGGGTGGAGGGAGGGTTTGCAATATATTGTACTTTGTACGCAGGACACTGCGCTGACTGCCTTATCTGTGAAGTCCCATAGGAAGCCTACAGACAAAGCCACAGTGTGAGTGCCCAGTGATGCAGTGACAGTGGTGGGGTGGAGAAAGACAGCAGTGATGGATAGGAGCTGGCCAAAGGAGAGGCCAGGCATTCAGCGGCCTATGACACCCAACAGCCATGGCAAAAACATTAACCGAGTATTTACAAAATGAAGGGGGGGGGGGCACGGTGCTGCAGTGGTTAGCCCTCACACCTCTGGGATGAGGGTTCGAGTCTCTGCCAGGGTTTCATGTGTGTCGAGTTTGTGTCATCGTGGGGTTTCCTCTGGGTATTGCAGCCCCCCCCCCCCCAGTCAAAAAACATGCTGAGGTTAATTGGAGTCACAAGATTGCCCCTAGGTGTGCTTGTGTAAGTGTGCCCTGTGATGGGTTGGTGTCCCATTCCGGGTTGTTCTCTGCTTTGAGCCCATAGGCTCTACACCCCCTGTGACCCCAAACTGGAGGTTCAAATCCCGCCTCTGAGTTTGCACGCTCTCCTCATGTCATAAAGGTTTCTTAAAATTGCCTTTCTTTCCTCCCACAGTCTAAAGTAGGGCAGCCATGTGACTTAGCACCTCTAGACTGTGTGTTATGTGTGTACGTGTGAAATAAGATCAACTGGAGTGCTGTCCAGGGTGAACCCCTTTCTACACGTTCTATATAGATACATATTTCCTAAACATTCACAGAAATTATTGTTTCTTGTTAGACTTCAACAATGACTATTGAATATAGCGTCACTGAAAATGTATTGCCCTGAGATCGCATTAAACAAGAAGAAAACCTGCAGCATGACTCAAAGTCTGGCTTACAGATGGCTGTATCACTTAAAATACATGACACAAGGGGGGAAGTGAGGCACAACTAATCTCCTGTCATTCTGAGAAAAATGAAATTGCACACAGTGATGGAGAAATAATGAAAACCAAATGTAAATACTATATACACAATACATTTCAAGGCACACAGACCACGGTGACTAATTCCAACAACCAAATATCAAGAGTGAGGAAGATGGGAAACGGATGTGACTCGTCATCGATGTGGCAAAAAGCGTGAACAATGGCCGTGCTTGGCAAGAACGGGCGAACAGTAGCTGTCATGATAGGAGGCGGGAAGGGAGAAATGATCCATTGGCTGACGTGAAAATGAAGGGGCTTATTTAGGGAAGTTAAAAACACATAACAGTAGAAAGCAAAATGATCACGATCAAAACAAAGGCATGTGGGTTAAACAAGAACAACATAGGTTGGGACCCAACCTAGGTGGGGAAACACAGGAAGACTCAACAGAACATCATGCAGGAGACTAACATGCAACAATAACATCTACAATGACTGACAAAGGAACAGGGCAAGGGAGGGCACATGTATCTTCTGATCTGGTAACGAGGACTACATGAGGGACAGGTGTGAACAATGAACCAACTGGGTAGGAAATAAGGAAGAAATGGGATGGCTAGTGACATCTGCTGGCCAAACAGGGACATGACAGACACAGTAGGAACAGATGCTGACAGTGGCACCCTGATGTTTGTGATTGCCATGGAATGATTCTGAATCATCACAAACTAATGAACTGAGTAGGTCAACGAGATGGCACACTGTCTGATGCTGGTGTGACCGTGCAGATTCACTCAGTTTAAACTGTGCATAATGAGTGTTATCATAATAAAAATGTAAATAATCCCCCATGCAGCACAATGAAATGCACTAGGGCAAAACTGTGTTTTCAAATACACAAGATATTGTATCTTCAGCTGCTTCTGAAAATTCAAACTGGAACAATGCAGGCAAATAATTCCCGGTAATGTCCCTGAAAAATATTACGTAAAGTGAAATAAATCTGCAAAAATGTATATGTGCATAATGTAAACACTCAGTCACAGCTCACAAATCTGAAGACACAGAAACGTCAATTCTCCCCATTTCAGAAAAAACATAAATCTATATTTTTGGTCAGTAACAAGACCTGAGACACTGTTAGTTGGCCACTTCTCTGTGAAGAAGCACTGCTTAACACAGTACGCAGACTTAAGGGCTAAATTGCATAAAGCCCTCTAGAGATGAAGAGCTATTTGCTTAGACACAAAGAAAGGTTGCTGAGGTGGCCCAAACTCCCATGGCAACAGAGAGGCTTGGAGCGATCAGAACCACTACTCCACATTTCCTTGGTACACACCTCTAGGCTAACATTATATGCATTAATTATTGCCTTCTCAGTTACACCAATTGCTTTTAGACTTCATTAACTTCAGCTCTTATCAGTAAAATCATTGTATACCATATAATGATGAAAATCAGTTCAATAAACTTACAGACAAGAGTCCAAAATGAAGATGTGGCTGGTTAGAAATTTCAGTGTGAAGCATTTAACTTTAGCGATTTTGATTGTATAGTTTAAGCATATGAACAGCTCTAAATTCTACTTTGTTTTTATTTCTTTTAGTGAGAGCCTGCTTTGCAGTTTGCAGTGTCAGATTCCACTAATCTTTGGTAAATAAATCGAAAGATACCCCATAAGGATTATCGAATGAACAGAATACAAATCCAGGAATATTCCATGAGCCTGGATTAGAATCTGGGATGATGGATGCATACGTGAAGTTGCATAAGAAGATATACTGAGGTGGAGAGGAAAGATCTTGGCTGTAAGGAGGATATGGGTTGCAGTTAAATCACAAACAAATAGATATTCAGAGGCCAGAAAAGCCATAACCGCTAAAATGCAGGCCTGTTTATAAATGGCCACAGAACAAGGAGCTATTCAAGGCCCAAGATGCAGGTGATACTATTTATAGTAAACAGCCAACATCAAAAGCAGAAAATTGCATTCCATGCACGTGAAGATGAAAGGGATGCGGGCAACTGTTATCATGTTCTTAATGCTCATATGCTTTTGACTTGAACAATCTCTTTCCCTGACACTTGCTATGACCACAACTGGCATGAGGGTCACACATCAAATATCTGCACCAGACAGATTCTGAGAAGGAGCAAACTGCACCAGGCACCCAAACGTCAGTACTCTCACAGCGAAACATAGATCAAGGCTTCACGAGGAACAAAACGGGTACAGAAACCGTCTTTAACATTCAAGATGAGAACTGAGAAGTATTTTGAGGGTTACTCGGCAGTCCTGACAATGCAAATATTCCCTGCCTCACGTTTCGAGAATTGCCAACTTTGGTCAGCTGGCTGGCGTGAGATTGTCAGTTCCAGACAAGTTTGCACACACATGCACACTCATTCACATGTATGTAAGAGTTTTATTACCTTGTAAATAGTCTGTAGGTTTTGCAGACTGTTCCAACGCCTTCGATGTGGTTAATTTTAAGTTTATAATAGAGTAATATTGATTTGCCGTAAGATTTCTTGCGTGAGCGTGAGAGTCTGATAGCTTGAGTGTCACAACAGATGCATGAGTTGGCAGCCCTGGTTTAGTCTATTGTTTCCAGCACTTCTTTTCCAATCATCAGGTAGAGAAAGAATATTAATTATGAATACAAGCCCTTGCAGACTGGATTTTTATTGTGGCACACGCTCCTTTGATAATGACAGCGGAGCAAATCACAGCCCACTGCGCCTCTTCGGCACTAGACCGCGAAACAGCAGAGACTCTGGCCCGTGAGGAGGGGGGGACTTCAGGCAGAGCTTTCAGAAGCGAACCCGCTGTTTTCACATGCAGTTTTAGAACTGAATATATACTGTATGAGCTCTTTATTAGCAAAATCAAGGCTAATAACAAGGATATTACCCCAGTGAAATAATATGGGGAGATTCTGTTTCAGAGTTTAGCTGTGGCTCCCTCTCACTGCAACTGAATATTCTGACTCCTCCGTCAATCCAGACACATTAATATTCTTTTAGCATCCTTGCTGGGGAGGTAGGACAGCTCCTGCACGTAGCACACGTTTAGCCTTCGCGACTGAAGGAAATTTAAATTTATTTATATCTCGGCAGAGCACCAGAGTCATATTTAAGTACAAAATGCCAGGAACCATCTACAGAAGAGCCCTGTAATTATGAAGATGAATGCATTCAGACAGGAGAAAATAAGATACCCCCGAGTGCTGTTCGTGGTGGACTGTTTCAGAAAATTGTGTTCCGAAACACCACTTCTCTATAGAAACGTAGTGTTGCACAACCAAATTCATAATGTGTCCAAATAGAAAAAAACAACACCTCGAATCTATTTTCTGGCTTCCGGAAAAGTCTCATATAACTTTTCCTTTGTGAGTGTGTCGTATATACCTGTTCACACGCACGCCTCTGAACCCTTTCGCCTCGCTTTCTGTCTGCGGCGGAGATGGACGCCGCGGGGACAGAGACTCCTGCGGGGAACTCATTAGTTTTCCGGGGGGAAGGGTAATCCAGCGCCGGCGCCGTTTTATTCTGAAATGTGTTCTGCGAGACAGCCATTGATCTGGTGGAGCTGTACCGCTGCCAAGCGGCACCTTGCTGTCGTGCGGCGAGTGTTGCCGAAAGATGAGAACATGAGGTAGACGAGAGACGCAAATAAATAACATGTTTCTGAGCCGCAGATAAGAACTCGGCATGAGACAGGATGGTGCAGGAGGACGTGTCAAGTGAACGAAACACGGCTCAATTAGCTCAACATCAACAGCCAAAGACAGTCATGTAGCTCAGCCTATTTTTTTAGGAGATGTGTGTCATGTTTACCTAAAGCGGGCGTCGTATCACGAAGCCGGATTTCGTGCATAGCCGGATAACATCGGATTTAAAGTTCCCCAGTTTAAATACTCTATCTTCGTTCACTTATATTAACCCCAAACTGCCTTAAATGCGGCTAAGCAAGAAATCCTGCTTCGTGATACAGCCCCCTGCTTGCAAGGTGGAAGCTGTAATTGTTTAAGCACTTAGGGTCCTGGGTGGGTATTTGCACCCAAGGCTACAGATACCTCCTCAGTCTTAGTGCCATGCTGCCACCTGCAGGTCAAGTAGTGCATTCATTAAGACAAAATATGTTTCTGGGTCAGTTACCATAATGATTGTAATGTTACAGCGACAACCACTATTAGTAGCAGCAATGGTAGCTATAAAGCTTTATATTTCTTTAAAGTGCATACAGTGAATAACGGCATACGGAGCTTTAGTTTCACAATTTATACACATGTTCTGACAAACGATGTTTTATTGACAGGTAATAAGAAGAAAACTGCACTCGCAGCAGCGTATTTGGCACGCGCACCGCCTCTGCATCGTGGCAGGGTTTGCCGCACGAACTCCACCAGAGAGTGTCACTCGAATGAGAACTGCAGCTCCACACACAGAGCCACCGCAGTGAGGGCCCGTCGCCTTTGACAGAAATCGAAGGTGCAGCCGCAGAATGGTTGAAGTCCATCAGTGTCATGTCTGTGTTCCCACATGCTGGTCTTTACCATCACAGGCGTAACGTCATTTGACGTCGATCCGGGACAGGTTATATGTAATAACAGAAAACATTATAAATATTGCACCTAAAAGCTTGGCCGTGAATGAAGCATTAAAGGTGGAAGAAATTAAACTGCTAACTTGGATATTTTGTGCTTTTTAAAAAAAAAAAAAAAAAAAAAAAAAAAACAACAATATTTCCAGCAGCACTAGTCAGCAGAGAATCAGTCTGGAAATTGTCTGCATATGAGCTGTATTCCAATGAAGGTGATCCTGTCTTTCTGAGGTCACCGTGTCACTACTTCCTGCTAAAAGCCGTTATTTTAATCAATATTATACTATTTAATAACCCAGCCTCACCCTTCTAACTCAACTTCATCAGCTACATTCGGAGGTCAAGCTCTCACACTCCCGCACAAACGTTCGCTTGAATCGCCGACTCGACAATCCCCTCATTGTGCCGAATAACCGCTGCTGCCACTCACAATTCCCGTTACGGCCCTCTTGCGATTCGGACATGATCCTGTGTGGCTGCGTCAGCGGCCTGCCCTCACGTGAGAGAGCAGGCGTGGGCAAATGGCCAATTGGAGCCTTACAAAAATGTCCTGAGGGCAGAACGAAAAATGATTGGTTCAGAGAGATAACCAATCAGATTGTAGAGCTGGTCAGTCCAAACAACTAGAGGAGGGGGGACCAACTAATCATTTTTCGTTCTGCCCTCAGAACATTTCTGTGTAAATAAAATTCCCACAAGCAAGTAAATGTTTCTAACCACCAGTGTTTGGGGAAAGTGCCATAGACAACAATATAAATACCTCTTTGTCCAGCACAAGGAAATTCTTTAAAAGCTTTAATGGTTTGCTACTAAAACTGCAGCTCTGAACCCGATCATTCACCTCCTCCCTCCTTCCATCTTTCTAAAGCTGGAAGTAGCTGAACTGAATTTTTCATTGGAAATGACACTGTTGAAAGTGACAGCAATGTGCAGTAAATAATGGCTTTTTCATTGCTTAAAATCTACAAATGCTTTAGTCAGTGTATACCAGTGTTCTGTTAGAGAACCTCAGCTCCGCTATCATGAAAAAGAGAACAAAAGGAATTCCAATAAGATGCGTTAATCTTAATAATACGTCCTTGATTTCCATAACACATAAGTAAAATGTTCATGTGACACCTCTACAATGGCCTCTGACCTGGCTGACCTTTGACCCCAATGCCATCACTGCAGCCTGTACCTGTGAGCATCCAGCAGTCTCTGTGTGGTCACTCTCTGGAGAAGCTTGGGGGTGGTTCTGGCCTATGTGAAATGGATCTGGCAGACTAGGACAGGATGTCACTAGAAGATGGACTCGGGAACCGGCCTCTTCCGGCCCAGCGAGGTGGAGGAGTAGCATGTCGTGTTTAAGGCGGTGTGGGTGGGGCTTTCTGCCATCGGGACCTGGGGGAGGAGTCTTCGCACGGCTGGGACTGAGCGGGCCTGGATGCTGGAGGGGCTGTAGGGAGGGAGGACTTCCCCATCCCCCAGGACTCTGTTTTCCTTGTCGCCCGCCACCCCGCCCTCAGGATCCCTCCTCAGGAAACCCAGGTGGATGAAAGACCGCCGGCCCTCCAGACTCCTTGCCACCAGCACTTTACTGCCCCTCCCCTCCTCGAGAGGCAGGGCTGAGGGCTGCTCGCCACGCCCGCCCACTCTCTTATCCGATGGCCCTGATTGGCTGTTGGATCGGCTCCTGAAGGGATCCCAGCCAAGGGGAGGGGTGGGGCTGGGGATGGGCCCCACACTAGAGCCCCTCCAGGATGGGGAGCCTTGAGCCCCACCCTGTGCCTGAAGGCTCTTTAGGGTCACGCCCCCTGTTGGGGCACCTTCACTGCACCTGTCGGCGGAGTCCCGACGCTGGGGGGAGTCTGGGAGGGTTTTTTCCTTCCACAGAGGAATGATGGGTTCCTGGGTGCACCGTGGCCGCCGGCCAGACTCCAGGTACTCCACCAGCTGCCCTGTGCACGGTCTGCGGTTCCCCCTGGAGCCCAGAGACCAGCGCAGGGGCAGCACTTTGCTCAGGCCTTCCCTGGCCTTGGGGGGCGTCCTCAAGCTCACACTCCGGCCCTGGGTCTCCCGCACGATTGGCTTTTCCAAGGATTCTCCTATAGCAAAAGTGATGGTAGTGTTACATTCCACTCATGAAGCTAACAGCCAATCACAGAACGGCAAATATTAACAGCCAATCAGAGAACGGCAATTAATAACATTAAGGAACCAATCACACTGCCTGCAGTGAAGACAGAGGGTGTTTCTCAATACGCATACTTGACCCTGCTTGTGTTCTCGTGTACCTACTGAAGACCAGATCCAATACTCAAGAACACAAGTACAGAGAAGGGTAAAAATTCCCGGATGTCATTCTTGCCCCAGCTCAAATGTCATGGATGCATTGTTTGCATCCTCACCAAACTAGAACAATCCCATGATTCATTGTGTCCCAAGTTCGTTCTTGGGAGGCAAGACGGCACGGCCGCTCTTGCCAAGACCACAAGTATGATCTTTGGGTTCTTGGCATTGAGAAACACCTGAAGTCTGAGGATCCTTATGATGTTCTGAATTCCGGAATTACTCAGACATAATATGTAATAAATATGACACATTAATCATCGATCGTTATTGAATACATCACTGTAGCTACTACTGAAATGACAACCATAAAGAGGAAACTGTACTGAGCCTGAATGACACAGGATACCATGGTGAGGACTCACCTGTTTGCTCTAGGGGGGGCTCCTCTTGGAAGACGAGGGACACGGGTGATTCAGGTGGCGCAGACACATAGTTCGTGCAAACCCTAGACACCTGGCTGCCCTTCTTATCATCCCCCCCCAGGCGGGCCAGCCAGTGGTCAGACAGGGATGAGCTGGTGGAGCCTAAGATGGGAGGAGTCCAGTACAGACAGTCACATGTATAGCGACACCCACTGGATGCTCCACCTGCCACACAAATTCCTGAGCCAATCAGAATGGGCTCTCCAGAAGACCCACCTCTAACAGAGCAGCTGGCAGACCAGGGTGGGATGGCGTTGCGTCTCTGGTAGAAAAGGATGTAGGCATCGCGGGTGCACACCTCCGCCTCAGGCAGCAGATCCACGGCGCTGTCATCGTACCGGTACCACTTCCCATCTACCGAGTTCCTACAGTACGCTGCATGTGCGAGACACGCGCCAATCACAACCGGCCAATGAAAACGTTGCTTTCGGCGTGGACTCCGCCCACCAGTACCTGTGTAGTGGCCGCCATGCATGCCCCCGTGGTGGTTGCAGACCGCGTAGAGGTCGTACAGGAACTCCGGGGAAGGTGTTTGGTCGGCCAGTGGGGCGCGGCCGCCCCGGCGCTCCACGTGGGGCGCGGTGTCCAAGCCGGCCAGTGGGAAGCGCACCAGAGCGGGCAGCTTGTGCCGCCGGCCTCCCGCCTGCCGGAATCGCTTCAGATGTAGCACCAGGATGTCGGGCAGCGTCCACAAGCTCACCTGCACCGTGCCCTGCTGCAGCCGCTGGCAGTGGGGGCACCTCCAGGCGTCTTCGGGCGCCAGCTTCCCAGGGCGGCCCGCGGAAAACAAACGGGCGGTTCATCCAAGAGCAACCAGCTCCCTCTACACTCAACACTACCAGTCGAATGTTTGTGCAAACACTGACATTTTCTTCATTTGCATGTCACTCACTTAACATTTACTAATAATACACTCGATATTCTTTGCTAACAAATAAATTCACAGTATGTTCATCATTTGAGTACCTTTATTACCAAGAAAATCTCATTAATCAAAGTAACCTCCTCTAGCAGTTATAACAGCAAAACAAATTCAAGGGACATTAAATTCTGCTCTGATTCATGGGATGAAACAGTACATTTAAAGTTAAAGGACAGCCTAGAATGTGACTAAGCCATCACCACATGACCAGTTAATAGGATGTCAAACATGCACTTTCTAGGTTGTCTGAGGTTGTTCTAGTTACATACTCTTTCCATGGCTTAAAGGAAACTTGTTTTATTTGACTTGTATTTCCATTTATAGAGGTTCACTCAGCACAGCAGGGATGATGGCCCTCAGAGTTGATTAACCCCAAATCGAGCCGTCATTGTTTGCCTGTCCCTCTCAGTCTCACTGTATCCATAGCGGGTGAACAGACAATAGTGGAAAGACTTGGAGTTTACAGAGAAGGACTGGAAGGAAAGGCTGAGAAGGCGGCAGCCCGCCACGTGTCTGCGGAGGCAGTCTGCCACGTGTCTATAAAGGCAGCCTGCTACATGTCCGCAGAGGCAGCCGGCTACATGTCTACAGAGACAGCCTGCTATTTACTCTACTCAAGTACTTCAGTCAATTACCAAACTTAAACACTCAGCCCAGTAATTTACTGAAGCCCTCGATCGAAGTACTCAAATAAATCACCCTGATTATGGTATGGAGCTAAAGCGCTGACCCGGCGCCGTGACCCGTGCCGCCAGCCAAGCTCTCACCTGCTCCTCCTTGGTGTAGAGCTGGAAGCAGTCGTCCAACGTGCAGCTCTGCTGCTGCTGCTGGGCCCTGACACTCTCGCAGTCCTGCACCACCTCCTCGCGGATGTTCCCGAACAGCCTGGAGGATCAAGGCCAGTCAGGCGTTGTCGTCACCCCATTATATAATATCTGTGCCCTTAGAATGCAGCCTCATTTAAGGAGCTCAAAGGAGCTTTACTTACACAAAAATGTTCTGAGGGCAGGAGGGAAAATGATTGGTTCAGAGAGATAACCAATCAGATCTTAGAGGAGGGGTGTCCAAGCAACTAGAACCAGTAGGACCAACCAATCAGATATCTTGGTCCCACCTCCTCTAACATCTGATTGATTATCTCTCAGAACCAAACATTTTTCTTTCTGCCCTCTGAACATTTTTGTGTAAGTAAAACTCCCAGGAGTGTTTAAGGGGTGACAGTGGCTCACCTCTCCTTCACCCTGTGGTCCCATTCAATAATGAGCTTCACGTGGGGGGGGCCCCCTGGCCCACAGAACCTAAGGACCCTAGGAAAGAAATGGGGGTCATCAGAAAGGACCCTAGACTAGGTAGGCACCTATCTCCTCAACGTAAAAACAGGTCACTATCGCTACACACAGGGAAACATTTAAAATACTGTAACAGCTGTCATGACCTCAGCACTTCCAAACTGAGCACAGTGTAGCTAAGACTGCAACTGCAAAGGTTCCCAGGGCAGTGCTGAAATGCCAACCTGCGATTTAACACAGGAAGGAGGAGGATTAAAATGGCCACAAGGTGGCAGCATTCTAGAGGGAATACAATACACTGGCATGATGCTTTATAGACAAAAACAGAAGGAGGTAAATGTAGGTGTTTAATTGTCTACCCAAATCTCACTGTCTCATTATTACTTCCTGCTGACCATCTGAAAAGTATGACAAAGGTAACATTAAAAGATAAGAACTGCAAACCAGGGTACGGAGTCAGATTCATTTTGACAGGCGATCTCGTCACCATAATTGCCTTTGTCTCTCAAGAGATTTAAACTCAGGCAGGAATAATTCTGGGACGTGGGAGGGATTTAGGATTTATGCTTGCCAGCTCTTCTTGAATGTCAGCAAAAGGACTGGAGGGAGGGAAAAGGGCGAAGGAAAAAAAAACCTCTTTTCTGTGTCTCGAGCCCCCGGTGCTGTAAATTCTCGTGAATGGCTTTGCGTTAAAGTGTCCCAGGCAGACTCCCGTCCTGAATAGAAGGCTGTACTTCAGCAAATCAATACCCGTTTGTTTTAAAAGTGGAATCTTCACAAAACTATGCTGAGGACTGTGCTCTTGCGTGGTCCGTGGATGACTGGACAATACATTACTTAATTGCTTGGCGAAGCATCTTTCTGAAAGGTACGAGGAGAAGTTCTCTGTCCCGGTACCCAGACCTGCAGCCCCTGGGCCACAAGCCCAGGCCCTAAGTCACCGCATCATCTGTGGCTCCCTGGGTTATCCAATCACAATCAGCCCTTTCATCCATCATAAATGCCACACATCTCCTCTGACTATGCAGGCATGGCCGTGTTTAAATATGCACCGCATGGAGGAAAACCGCTCATTTTAAGGCCATCTTCCTCAGTGCTGCTTCTCTCCTGCTGCCATTTCAGCTAGTTTTCGTCAAAGGTGGGAAATGGTGTGTTTTCACCAACGTGCTCAATGAAAATCTGCTGAGACACACTGCAAGGTCTCACGCTGCGCTTATGTATCTGTATTTGTTGTGTGTGGGGGATAAACAGCTTGAAGTGGGAACTTCATCAGCTCAATCTAGTGCTTAAATGGCATGGAGCACAATCTAGCATATACACTATATGTACAAAAGTACTGGGACACCTGGCCATTACACCCACAGGAACTTTTATGACATCACATTCTAAACCCATGGACATCAGTATGGAGCTGGTCCCCCTATTTGCAGCTATAACAGCTGCCAGTCATCTGGAAAGGCTGTCCACAAGATTTTGGGTTTCGTCTGTGGGAATTTTTGTACATTCATCCAGAAGAGCATTTGTGACGTCAGGCACTGATGTTGGATGCGCATATCAAACATTTTGGACAATTGTATTTTTCCAACTTTGAGGTAACAGTTTGGGGAAGGCCCTTTTCTGTTCCAGCATGACTGTGCCCCAGTGCACAAAGCAAGGTCCATAAAGACATGGTTGGGTAAGTTTGGTGTGGAAGAACTTGACTGGCCCACACACAGCCCTGACCTCAACCCTATCAAAGATCTTTGCGACGAACTCGAACTGAGATTACAAGCCAGACCTTCACGTCTAACATCAGTACCTGACCTTCTGGATGAATGGGCAAAAATTCCCACAGACACACTCCAAAATCTTGTGGAAAGCCTCCCCAGAAGAGTGGCAGCTGTTATAGCTGCAAGGGGGGACCAGCTCCATACTGATGCCTATGGATTTAGAATGTGATGTCATAAAAGTTCCTGAGGGTGAAATGGCCAGGTGTCCCAGTACTTTTGTCCATATAGTGCAGGGTTCTTCAACTCAAGACCTCGATTCCAAATCCAGGCCGTGTTTTCAGTTATCCCAGGTAGTTGTTTAATAATTGCTAATTCTGATTGGTCAGAGGCTTCACACCTGACTGACAGGTAAAGGAAGGCTGGAAAACCAGCAGTGCTCGGACCTCGAGGACCGTGAGTTGAATAACACTGATATAGTGTATCTAGCGACCAGCACAGAACTGCGTGCTGCTGCCCTTTGAAGGATCAGCGGGGCGCTTCTGCCAGTTCTAGCTGAGATTTGTACCACCGTGACGCTGATCCCCGAAGGCACCAGATAGAGGGGGAAAGCGAGTCACGTTGCAAAGATCGCCCACAGATCACATCCTCGCAGACCGTCTGGGCGAGCGTTTCTCCGCGAGCCGTGAGTCTCAGCCAAGGCACACATGGGCTCTGGACCTGCTCCATGACGGAAAGGCTTCGGAAGGCTTAAGGAATCAGGCGGCAGAATCAGCTGACCGTTTGTGCCCGAGCCTTAGCTGCTGTCCCGTGGGAATCGTCGTCAACAAATATTGACTCAATCTGCTTGATCAAGATGAGGTCATATACAGCTTGACAGAAGAGAGCTGGGGTTTGTGGGGGTGGGGGGTAATTCACATGCTGGTAACTCGCACAAACACGTATTTGCTCAGAACATCTCTGGGTCTTGTATATAATGCTGCTGTACTAACCATAAGCAGTTTGCTTAACCTCTCTTAGATCAGTATGCACTGATCAGCTAGTGAAATGGACAGACAATCTCCTTCCAACCATAAATAATGTCCGAAGTGTTATTACAATTTAAGTCGTTGCTAAAAACAGTTTTATTCTCTTCGGCTTTCACGTGATTTATGTGAGCTGCACTTTCTCATTTTTAATATGTTTTTAAATGTTTTATGTACTTCTGATTGTCATTTTCAATTTCCATATTTTATGTCCGTTGAACCATATGCATTTTATTTATTTCATTTTCTGTGAAAGCACTTTGAATGACCTCTGTGTGTCAAAATGTGCCATTCAGATTAACTTGGCTTGACTTGACTGTTAAGCTTCTGTAACGGATCCAGCAGCATAAATGTGGAAGAGTGAAGGACCTTTGGAAACTGTAGGGAGCTCTGCAACAGAAACCAGCACAGGAAGACTGTGGACAGGATAACCAGTTACTGGTCTCCACCAAGAATTAATCCGGCCCGAGTGAAGGTGATGCCGACCTCACCTGTCCACCACTGGGTGGTAGAGTGGACGTCTGTCCTGGGGGGACAGGTAGCTTTGGGACATGGAAGCCCCCACCACCCGTATCCGGAACAGCATGCCCCCGGCCTGCGGGGCACACGCAGACATGTGAGCAGCTCAGTGCCTGGGGGGGAGGAGATCATCAAGGAAAGCATAGAGCATGTGGGTGTGGCCAAGAATGACCAATGAGATCCCAGCGATCTCAGAGCTGAATTACCCAACAGGACGAGGCCTTAAACCTATAAGTCGTTCACGCAGAAGGCCTCTAGCGCTGACCAGGAAGCAGAAGAGCGCAGGATGGCGGTGGCGGTTACGGTCAGTGCCTCCCGAACGCCTGGCCCTCGCAGAGCAGACCCGCCCCTGCTGCCCTTCTGCATTCAGGGCGCCACATCAAAGCCGGCAGGCTGTGAGAGTCCCTGCCAGGGAGCCAGGTGGCAGCATCTGCTCCTCAATGCAGGAACCGGCTAAGCGCAGACTCTGCTCTCTGCAGCCAAGTCGGCACAGTCCAAAGCGGCCCTCTGTGACCTCTCTGCGGCATGCACTGAATTTGGGTCAAGGTCTTGGCTCTTCCCAGTCTCATCTGTCCCCTCATTTACACACCGCCATTAATGTTGTTTATTAAAATTCAATCCTTGTGTACCATAAAAAACCTGCTTACCGAGAGGGAAGTCATATATAACCTGATAGCACTAGGACCTGGGAGACGAGACCTGGTTTAGGGAGGGTACAGAGCCCCACCTTCCTGGAACAATTAGCAAAATCAAAGAAGCTCATTGGCTGGAGGCCTTCTCGTTCGTTTGTAAACCTCAATGTCAATACTTCTCATTTAATATCACCCACTAAACATGTCTGAACTTTGGGTTATTTAGGTTATTGATTTTAAAGTTTTATTTATTAAGAATGAAAAGATTTTTAAAAAAAAACACACTCACACATTGCTTCATCAAAACATTAGCACTCACATCACGTTCAGTGCGATATACCTGAATCTCACAGTGTCAGTGAGCCCGGTGCAGCGAGCACGCCACAGGCCTACTCGTCACTGCAGGCCGGTGCAGCGAGCACGCCACAGGCCTACTCGTCACTGCAGGCCGGTGCAGCGAGCACGCCACAGGCCTACTCGTCACTGCAGGCAGGTGCAGGGAGCACGCC